TTGGTATTTTTCACTCAAAACCTTTTCATTCTTGCAGGGGACAAGATGGCTCGCTTTATTGTAGTCTTTTCTCTTTCTTTTTGTAAATGTGTGACAGAGCCGTGTAAAGTGGTCCCAGCTCTGTGGAACCTGCAACACAGATTTCATTTGTATTGCAGTTCTTTCTGCATAGCTGCAGAACATGCTGTTCGAGGGCTGGGAACTCGCTGGAGCGTCAGGGCGTTTCATAAGGGATAGGAAGGGAAAAAAAGCTGGAGGAAAGAAGGAAAAATAAACCGAAGCAGCATGGAGTGACCGAGGGTGAAGCCCTGCCTCCTTGAAGTCGTGTCATAACTCTGCCTTCGCTGGCGCCGAGTTTCCCTGTCCTGCCTGATTTTGATCTTGGCTACATGGGTGTGCTGCAAATTAACAAAATGGCTATTTGATTTAATACCGTACACCTAGAGAGCTAAGTGAAATCTTAATTTGAACAATATTAATAATTCAGATAGCTGTATTTTGCTATTAGGTTAAATATAAGCTCTGTTTCTGCCCGGGATTTGTGTCAATTTAGCACGCTGTGGACTTTGCAGAATCTCTGATGTGAACGCTCTTTGAAGTGGAGAAATGGTCTAAAATATTTTCCAGCAGTCAGCTAGCTTTTTAAAGCTCCATTTGCTTCAAATCAGCAAGCCTTTTTAAAAACAAACAAATAAAAAGCAGTTTGCAAGTGCAAGAATAACAAGATCCTCTTTGAAAAAGCCATTTTTTTCATATGGGCTCCAGCTATTCAGCTGTAGTTACCTCGGTCTCCAGTGCTGCTAAAGACAAATTAAGCTAATAAAACAGTATCTTGCAACATTGTAGCAAATAAATTATTTAATGTGTATGCAAGTAGTTTGCTATGCCAAATTTAAACTCTTTAAGCCTTTGCTCTTTGGATGAGAAGAAGAGGCTATTAGAAATGTAACCCCATTAAGGATCTGGGAAACAATGCCTCGTCCAGCCCGTAGCAGCATTCTGGTGTGTTCGGGGAATACAGATGATAAGTTGAGATGTACTTTTAAGGAAATCGTATCTTTATTTTCTTGTAAGTGGCAACGTGATCATAGACTGATAATAAACTCGTGCATTAGAAGGCAGGTTCTGGGGAGGCTGCTGTATCCACCTGTCTGCATGGCGTGACCAGCCTTGGCAGGGAGCTGAAGGCGTTCCTTGGTTTGCATCATATTCTGGCTGTAATGGTGCATGTGCGTGCACGTACCTGCCTGAGCATATGTATTTCCTCTCTGCCATGGACATAAAACAACTGGACCTGTCTTAGATTTTTTTTTTTTTGCAAACTCCTGTTTGTTCCTTCATCTGTTCTTTTGGGACTGACCCCTGGGCACACCATATGGTTTTCAAACAGAGCACCTGTGCAGGCTCCCAGTTTTGTGTAAAACATACTAAGAGCAATTACAGGTGCACAAGCACCTCATTTTAAGTTATGTGAGCTTTTTTAACTTGTGAGGCTTTCTACATTTCGAATGCTGGAATCAGCATGTGAGGAGTTTTATTAATGCTGGCTGTCAAGCTTCATTTTGGCGGATTTTTCTTCCAGTAGCTGCTGAGGAGCCCCTCCAAAGCAGTTTCAGCACAGCTTGGGGTATTGGAAAAATCAGAGTTGAAAATGGGGCAGGTCATCCTTTTTCCACCCCCCTCCCCTCCTTCTCTAGATAAGTTACATAATCTCTGTTCCTCTGTTTCTTCTGTAAAACAAGGATAACTTATCTCACGGCACTTCTACTGCTGAGTAGTTGTAAGCCCTGCATGCAGGATCTTTTTTGATAGGAAGTACATTAAGATTAAAGTACATGGTGTTTTGTTCTGAAGAGTTTGAGGATGAAATTTATAGGCAACCGTAAGCTGTGTGTTTGTTTATGATAAAATTGGGAGATGAAGTATAAAGGAACAGACACTGGTACTGGCCGTGTAACTTGCAGCTTTACATTACAAACAGGCTCTTGTTTGTGGCGATAAAGGCAAGAAATCCAGTGTATTCTGCTAGCTACAAATAGCTACAAGGGGTAGAGCTTTTCACTCCTTCAGAATGAGCTTTTTCTCATTCTCAAATCAATCTCTCAGTTGTTCCTTTTAAGAGGGTCTTCTCTCCACCTGTTTAGTAGCTGTGAATTTTTGTTGCTGTAAGAGTAAACAAGCGTCTTTTTTACTGCTAAACATCAATGCTGTCATCGTTCTCTCCTCCCCCACTTTCTTTTATATCCTCAGCATTTAGTTAGCAAAATTCCTTCCTCCTTGCCCTTCCCAATCCTTTAGCTGAATCAGTATGACAGCTCAGACAGCAGGCAATAGGTTACTCATGATTATTGCTTTCCCTGCTAACCCTTCCTTTCTTCTGCTTGGTTCTGTAAAATCCTGTTGAATTCCTCCAGCCTACCTGGCTCGGGCACTGCTGCAGCACTGGGAATCCCCGCAGTGTGAGAGCTCTGCCCAGAGCAGATTCCTATCAGTGTGTGCTGCCCTTGGGATTTCTGCATCTCGCGTGCCTGAGGGCTGCCAAGTAACACTGCTCTGCAGGCACAAGAGTTTTCTTCTCTGCTCCGCAGCTCTTCTGGTTGTTGTGTAAATACTGGAGAGTTTGGGGGGATGAGTTTTGTGTGGATGCTGAAGAATTTTGGAGGTGAAAGATGGCTTGGTGGCCTTGGAGTGTGGTTTTTTGTAACTGTTGGAGATGTTTCCCCTCTAATGGGTCTGCTGCCTTACAGCTTCTCGTGACAAGATTCAGAATTTATTTTTAATCTTGAGAAGAAAAATGGAATGCTGAAGGCAGCTTCTCTTCCAGGCTGTGTTCTTGGGTATTTCTGGAGAAGTGTTTATGGGCTGCATGTCTCTGCAGCCCCTGCCACAGAAGCAGCTCATCAGCTTTGATGTGCTTTGAGTTGTTTCCTCCTGGTTTTGAGTCAGTACTTTTCCAAGGCTTTGGGAAAGCATTATGAACACTGGGCTGCTGGGAATCAGCAGGCCTCTGGGGACCCAAACGAGTGGGGAAAGTGCAGGTGTAGTGCAGTGCTGTTCTCGTTCTCATGGGCTGTGTAACCTCCGGTACCTGCTGACTGCTTGGTCACTGCTGAAAGAGAACCCTGCCATGGGAAGAATGCTCTGTTGGGTCTTCATTCCTGCTGTTTAGCCTGAGGCTTTTCAATAAGCATCCATGCCAAGCAGGTGGGTGCACGGTGTGGGGGTGAGCAGCGGTGGTGGGTAACATGGTCAGTGCATACAGTTTGTTGTGCTGCTGGTCTGCTTCGTCTGCCTCGTCACGTTCTGTCTGCGTTCCCCGTGCATCGTAGCTGGGGGAATGGCAGGGAGCTGCACAAAGCCGCCTTTCTTGTCATATCTGCTCAAATCTCACGTGACAGCTGGACAGAAGCTGTTTTCACTGCTTACAGTGAGGGGGAGGTGGAATGGGTGGTGGATTTAAAGAAAACTATATATACTTTTTTTTTCCTATATGCAGGCGGCTTGTGTTTGTGGTGGTGGTGTGGGCAAGGAGGCACCTTGTTATGCAGTCTGTGTTGGCTCTGTAGTGGAGAGAGCTTCCTCCAAAGTGTGGGTTTATGCCCTGGTTCTGCATGCTGGGGTGCCTGGCAACTCTTGCATACGCACACCTAAATGTCTGATAAAAATGCAGTGAAGTTATACTGATATTCTTCACTGCCATGGCTTCATTGGGCTAGGGAGGAAGTGAGACCCTGACAGAGTTATATCAGAGCAATGACCCTGTGAAGCCTTGGGGAAAAAATAATTTGTCAAAGAGTGTGCAGTTACTTATTAGAATTAATGTCACCCTCCAATCTTTCTCTTCATATCTTTTTCCTGTTGCCTTTGCATCCATCGGTGAATATTTCTTCTTTTGCTGGCTGTAGGCACGTGATGCTTTCTCATCCATTCTCTCTCAGTCTAGTTCTCCCTGCTGGTCATTGAAAGCCTTCCTTTGCAGGAAGGAGCACTGAGTAGTAGATACACAGGTATATGTGAGTGAGCAGCGGAATGGGATTTGTATATTGCTGTGTTTTGAAAAATGGTGATCTTTCACCTGATGAATTGCTCTCTCAAACTTGAATCTGGCAATCCCCCCAAATTGGACTTGGCTTTCTTTGGGAACTATAAAAGCAGCACATTTCTAAAACCTTTTGCTAATGGATTACTGAGTGAAGATCAATAGAGATACTGAGAGAGGAGCCAGACCTGGAAAAAGAACATAGAACGCAAGCTGCCTGATTAATTTGCTCTAGAGAATAAAAGCCTTCAGAGATGAGAACAGGGTATAAAACAAGCAGCTACAGACTTCCTATCTGCTGAGTAGAAAATGTTAACTTCTCAGGTCTGGTAAAGATTTCCAGTGTTGGTTTTGTAATGATGTGATATAAGGGAGAATGTTCAGTGCCTGCCTGGCAAAGGAACCTCCATGCTGTGTGTTGGGTGAGCGCTGGCAGGGGGCATGCTGGCTCCCAAATTAGAGAATGTATCTGCTTCTCATCTTCCAGTTAGGTCCACTGAGCCTCTTGATTTCCTGTCTTTACTTGTAAATGGCAGCAGCAAGCTTGCTTTCTTCTCTTAATTCAGATGTTTCAGTCTGTATTTAAAAAGAAAAATAAAAAAAAATGCTATTTCCTCAGAAGAACTGGATAGTCATTTCTGCTCTCTGCAAGTCATGTTTAACCCTCTTTATAGGGCATCCACCACACCTGGGATGGAACTTGTGGGCTAATGGCTTGCTCTTGAAGCTGAAGATGGATGGTGAGCAAAGGATCAAGTAGAAGCACATGCTTGCTGCTCAGATGTTCTTAATTCAGTGGACTGCTGAGTCACAGCTTGAAGCGGTGATGGAGCACCTGGTGGGAAGGCAGGGCCAACCCAGGGAGCTCAGGTGCAGGCAATGTACCTCAGTGATTGGAAGGGGTGGAGTCAGAACCCTCCCCTTCCCAGACCTCATTTAAGGGTTGGCAGTGGAGGTGAGGGGTATCTTGCTGGAGATCCCTCTATGCCTCAGGCTTTCTAAAGGTAAGCAGCTTCTTTCCTTTACTTCTGTCCCCACGGCTGTTGTGTTTGAGCAAACTCTCGCTTGCTGCAGGGTAGGACTGTGCTGCTCTGCTGCTGTTTGCTGCATTTTCTGTTGTGTTGTACCAAGCCAAGTGGCTTGTGGTGTTAGTTCAATTCTGTTGCTGTTTTTTGTGATGGCTTATATGAGAGAAAAGTCAGTTTTCCAAGGGAATATGACTTCCGAGGCTGTTTTCTTGCACGCTCCTCAGACTGTTGTGGGTGGGGCAGGAATTTTCCCAAATGGGTTTTGGCTAAGAGACTGGCGTTAACATCTTCTCTCAGAAAGAAATGGAGCCGAAAGAGAGAAGGCTTCATAATCAGGACTGTGCAGAACTTCCAGCTTACGTCCCAGTGGTACTTCTCCAGCAGCAAAGATGCCTGGTAGACCCTGTGTTTCCACTGAGAAGGAAAATGTTATCCTAAAATCTTGTTTGCATGTTTGTTCTCGAGCTTCTTAACATGCATGGTTTATTTTTAGAGAAAACAATGTCAGCCAGATTTGTACTAATTGTTGGCAACAGTATGTTAGTCCCTCAAATGCTGACAGGGAGACAATGTTTGGTGATTGCAGTCGTGCAAAGCTAAAAATGACTTTAATTAAACAATCATGAAAAATACTTTGCAGTGAAGGAGCTGAACAGCAGGGTTTTTGGTTTGGAGTTTCATTTGTATGTTTTGGGGTTTTTGACTCAGCTGATTGCAGGTGTTGTGTGACAAATTGGATATGCTTGTGTTCTGCCTTGAATCATTGCTGGTTTTGTAAAATAACAAAACCAAAAGCTATCATCCTCCTTAAAAGGAGTTGGTGAGAAGTTCCTCTCCTTTCTGCCACCCCCATCCTAGCCTTGTAGCAACTCTGTTTCAGCAGGGCTTACATTTTTTCTTTTGTTTTTAAATTGACTATAGTGGAGGTTTTTGTGGTGTTCGGGGGTTGCATTTTGACGGTGTTGTTGAACTGCTCAGTTAACTCCTCCATTAAGCCCTGCTGCCCCTGTGGTGTGTGCCCCAGGGCTGATGGGGGGAAAGGGGGGGCTGCCTTCCTGCTGTGAGCTGGGCCTGTGGCTTCAGCAGTCCTCGTGTTATTTCCTTACTTGTAGGAAGGAGAAAGCAAAACATGGCATTGAGATTTCCTTATAATGGAAAACCTGGGGATAGAGGTGCTTGGTGTCGGCTTGGTTTGTGCAGCCCTGGGGAGCAGCGGGTGGCTCTCTGCAGCCCTCGGAACAAGGCATGGCAGGTCAGGCTGGCTGCCCACAGGCTGCTGAGGCATTCTGAGGGTGCAGTGCAGTGTGTGTGCTGCTGAGCAGTGCATCTGTGACACCAGGCTCTGCAGGCTGTGCTTGTGATGGCCTGGGGCTCCGGATCCTTGTGATGAGGAACCAGTGTCTGCAGCTCCTGCTGCGGCTGCACAGATATGAGCAATGTGTCAGGCATGCTGCACCAGGAAGGGATCCTGCCTGTGAGTGCCACCAGCTATTTGCTCTTTTGGTCTAGAATTAAAGAGTGCAGAGCAGTTCTTGCCCAAAGTGTTTGTTTTTCCTTTGTTTGCCAGGCTGACAAAAGATGACAAAGATTTAGTGTACTTCAATGGCTAGAAATGACATGCTGCTCCTCATCTGCACATCTGGCATGGCTGAGCTTTCTGAATGACAGAGCAGGCTGGTGGGTGTCTCTGGCTGCCCTGTCACTCAGCTGCTAGCTCACCTGAAGTGCAGGTCCCCTGGGATTTTGCAGATTTTCACTGCTGTTTTCACAAGTGAGAGGACAGCTTGGGGTACGAGGGCAGCGTGTGGAGTTAATAGCAGTCCAAAGGCAAAGGGAGGGAATGAGGAGATGCCTAAATGCAACCTGAAGTGAGTTCTGTTCTTACAGAACTTGGAGAATGAATTGCTGTTATCAGAGGACACCAAGGTGCAGGTTAATCATCCTTTTGAGATTTATTTTCTGGGTCTCTGCTTTTTTTCCTCCAATCAGAACAGTTTCAGTGCTGATTTTTCTCTCCTCCTCTGTAGTGTGTGACCAGAGGAGCATCTTTAATGCTGTTGGCCTAGCTCAAGAGGAGTGTGAGAAACGTTCAGCTGAGCCTGCTGGTAGTGCTGGGGAGCTGCCAGTGCTTTGCCCTGCCTTGAGATGTGCTGAGGCCCTGTGAGCAAGAGGAGCATTTGCAGTCTGAGGGGGCACGAGGGGAGGCTGTGCTGCCTCTGGAAGCTCTCTGGTTACAGGCTTACTGGTTTGAAGGAGTGCTTTGACACCGCGTGCTTTATTGTCAAGTTTCATTATAACTTCATAAGATCTTAATAAGGAAGTTTGGAAAGAGAGTGGGGGGGGGAAATCCTGCATGAGAATGATAGATGTTTTCAAAAGTAATGTTAATTTTATCTTTAATTTTTCTTTAAATCTGTATGTGCTTGTAGAAGGTGATGCTTCTGACTCTAGAGAGGTCCTTGTTAGCAGCCCTTTGGTCCTTTTGATGGCATTGTAGTAAATGAATTTTAATAAATACAAAATCATGGTTCTGTTGTACTTCCTCTGCCATACCGGAGTACAGCTGTGATTTGGGCCAACACACCTGTTTAGTTTTGTTCTATAGGTTAATGAGGCATATGGGGATGGGTTTTTTCCAATTTTTTTATTTTCCTTGAGAAATCAATTCTATATTTTATGTGATGCCAGAGTGAGCAGAGCGAGGAGCCCAGCAGCTTGCCTCTGATTCCAGTGCTGCATCTTGTCTACCTTAAATCTCTAGCTGTTCTAAAACCACTAAGAATTAATTACAGAGGCTTCAAACCTTCCCTTCTTTGGCTCCTGCTTATGGTAGCGGCCACAGAAATGAGGACTTGGATAGAAATAAACAGTGTTGCATTTCATCCTCTGGTTTGAACATTTTTTTTCATCTGTAGCCTTTCAAGTGGCGTTGCCTATTGAAATGTGCCTATTGGTGCTGAATCAAGTGGCAGGGCTCCACCAGGCTCTGGAGTGCCTTGCAGTGACAGTGCAGGGGACATGAGGTGTTTCAAAGAAATGAACAAATTAAAGAGCAAAGAGAGCATATTAAAATAGCTCAGCTTTAAAGGGCCTTTGAATGTACTTCCCAGTGGCTGGGTCAGAGCCGTGCTGTTCGGCCCGGCACAACTGCTCCTTCCTCTTTTGCTTGCTTGCATTGCAGAATAGAGGGGAAGGAAGAAAGGGCATCTTATACAAGTAGGCTAGCCCTAAACCTTAAATGAGTTGGTTTGTTTTTGGGTTTCTTAATTGCTCTTTCAGCACCATTAGGTCACATTTCATAATTCTTGCTGTGCTGCAGTGGTTATTAAATTATTTTGCTTGCAACACCTCAAAACACCTCTGTTTCAGTGCATGCTGTGGCCGTGGAAGTTTCTTCCAGAAGTAAATGTATTTGTGTACCATCTTTAGAGCATCATCATCATCATGTTTAGCAGTTCGGTTCATTATTGGTATAAGCTGCCTTTCATTGTGAGTAATGTCTAAGCCTGTTTTGCCTCTGTCTGCTGGTATCTGTATGTGACTGCTGGCACAGGCGGCCGGAGGGAGGGGGTTTAGCAGAGCACATAAGTAGAGAAGGGGAGGAAGGGATGCAGGTGGGCTGCTGCCTGGCAGCCTGCACAGGAAGCAGGGCGATGCTCTGTGATTTGCTGGGCTGGAGTCTCTTGAAGTGAGGAAGCGTGGCTGTTTGCTTCTGTAGGCTGGGGGTGGTTTGAGGTTCTCCTGTCTGTGTGGATTGTGTAATAAGTGAATTTAATTAAAAAACCACCCCCAACAGACCAAACGCTTGGTGTCTGAGTAAGGACAGCATTGGTATTTTTGCCCGCATTAAAACAGCTGCTGCTAAAGCTGTTTGCAAGGTGATTCCTAAGGAAAAAGAGGGAAGCATTGCTGGGACAGTGGCAGCGCCTGTGGCAGTGGAGGCACTTACAGGGCGATGATGTTGCTGCTGTGTACCTGCTTTAATCCTCTTATCCCTCCTCTGGTTGCTCCATAGAAATGCTGAGAAGCTGCTATGGCCTTCTTGGAACAAACAGCTTTTATGCTGATTGTATGCTGTGAGAAACTGCTCCAGTTCTAGTGAGGCAGTGGGCAGAAACAAAGTGAGGAACTTGGTTGGAGGAAGCAGAGCATATTCCAATTAGCCAGAAGAGGCAAGAAGGAAAACACTGAGAGAAAACCCAAGCAAGCAGCCAGGAAAGCCGGCACTGTTTATTTTTGGCCAGAGCTGCTGAATGGAAGCTGCTTGTAACTAGTGTTGTTGGTGGCAGTGCAGCCAGGGTCGGGTTACAGCGCTGATTCAGTGACCAGCAAATGGTTTTGCTTTTCTCTTTGCTCTTCCCCTTTTGCACAGACTATTTGCAGCACTGCTCTCTTTCTTCCTGGCCCTTCCTCCTCCTCTTTGGTGCTCTGTTCTTCCCTGGGTGTTGTGAACGCTGGAGGAAGATGCCGGTATCATGCAATTTCGTCCAGCAAACCCAGCAGCTCTGTAGCTTTCCATATCAGAGAGGAGTCCAGGTGTGCCTCTTGTGTGGATCCTGGCTCTGAGAGCTGCTTGTATTTCAGAGCACTGCAATCTCAGGAGGGCCGAGCTGGGGCCGGGGGCTTCTGAGCGGCTCTGTGTTGGGATGGCTGCTGAGCTCTGGGGCCGTCTGGGTGTGGGATGAGCAGGTGTGAAATTGCACATGCGTGGCACTGAATAGATTGTGCACTGTAATGCTAGGTTTGGGCACAGCAGTGTTCAGAAATGAGCACTCTGGTATGTAATACCATGTGGAAAGAGAAATAGGGGAGTTGTTTTTTGTTGGTTTCTTTTGTTTGTTTTTGTTATGAAAACAACTGGAGGTTTGCCTTGAAGGTAGAAAAGCCTCTACAAGGCAAGATGAATGGGAGAAGAGCCCTTTGCCTTCCCTGCTCTGTCAGCCTCTCTATGGGCTGGGTGCCTCCTGCTTTCTGAGGGGCAGAAATAAAGCAGGAAAGGTAAAGCTTGCATCGCTGGCTGGAGCAGGAGGGGCAGCCTGGGGGAGCTCAGACTTCCTTCCTCACACCAGGGTGCTTTTTCTGCACTGGGGAATGTTTTTCCCACTTGTGCAGCTGGCCTGAATGTACTGGTTTGAGGCTTTGTGCAGTTGTCTGTGTGCTGGGGAATTGCACAACCTTTTAGGAATTACAGCCCCAAATGTGTGCAGGTATTGCTGATGCCAGCTGTGTTTTCACTGTGGGCATGGTCACAATGCTCAGGGGATTTCAATGTTTGTAATTTCCAAACACTGTTTTGAAATAAATGAATGTTCACAAACGACACAGTGAATATCAGATGTGGTGTAACTGTGTCTGTAGCAGTGGATCTCAAAGCGCTTAATGAACGAACTGTCACAGCTGTAATATGGGGAGAAATGTTCCATTTCTTCAGGAGCAGAGCTGTGAGTGTGGAATTGAAGCAGCAAAGAAAAATTCCCCCGCAGGCTCTGCTGAAATGTATTCAGCCCTCCATGTGCTGTGCTTACTGATACTTTTTGCTACAGGGTTGCAGTTTGTTACCAACAAGTTGGGAAGCTTTAAAGCCAGGTAGCAAATACTTGCTAATTAGAGCTAATGGATAGCTTGTTGCAGCTGTAATCTTTTGATTTGCTTTAGTGGCTTTGAAGGAAATCCAGATCTTGAAGCTGCTTTTTGTGTGGCTAAACTGCTGGAAAATTGGTCATCTCCTGGAAGGGAATGCTTGAGCTGCTTTCTCTCCTCTCTGTAAATCAGTGATTATATATAATTTTTTTTACTTAGAGCTCCCTTCTTGGAAGGAGCTCATAAATGAAGTGCAGCATAGGAGCCTCTGTAAAAGTGCAGACTTGAGCTGCGTTGTGTGGTGTTGGAGAACCCTGCTGTGTTTTTCCTGCACCCGTCTTAGTGAGAAGCAACAAATTAGCTGCAGTTCAGTTATCCTGCAACATCTCTGGAAGTAACTGGAAATCATCTAATTGCTGGGCCAAAAAATAATAAAAAGCATGTATGTGTGACTCTCATGGAGGAAAACAGCTAAAGATTGGAAGACTATTGTAGTCTTATCTCAGTGGGGAAAAAATTAAGGGTTTATTTGGCTCAAGTTATTCCCTTTGTCTGCCTAGCTGTGTCTGATGAGAATCAATAATGACTGTCTTGGTGCAGAACTGGCGCGTGATGAAATTCTCTCCATCCCTCCTTGGGCGCCCGCTTGCATTGCTGGGATGGCTGCTGTGTGCGTAGCAGCGCCGATGAAAGCCATTGGCTTTGACAAAACCCTGGAATGTGTCACTGACATGGGCATTTTAGAAACTGTAATCAGTGTCTTTGGGTTTTGAGCAACACAGCAGAGCCCAGGCTTGCTGGACAGCTGTTGTTTGCCTGCACGGCCATGCTGTGCTGTTGGTGTGCTGGTGCTCCTGCTCTGCCCGCAGCCTCGTGCCAACAGAGCTTTGCTTTTGCTGCCAGGGATTACTCTCAGGCCATCTTTTTCTGTGACAATTAGAAAGATTTCAGTTTTCTATGGGGTACATAAAGGGCTGTGTTTTCAGAAGCATTTGTGTAGCTCTGCTTTAGGTTGGTGCTGTGACAGTGTGCTTTTTTGCTAAAATTAGAACTCTGTCCTCTTTTGTGGTGCCCTCTGAATAGTGGGTACTCTTGCGCTTCAAAATCAGCCTGAAAGTGGCAGTGGTCACATAGGTGTTTATAGAGTGAGCTGTTTAACGTGTGTTACTGACTTAATGTGCTCAGGTTGTAAACGCAGGGAAGGAAGGACAGAGAATCAGCTAATATCCTGGTATGCTGCTGGCTTTTCCTTTCAGTGCACATACTCAGGGCAGCTGCTCACTGTGTTGATCCACTTTGTTCAAACACATTGGCAGTGCCCCCCATAAGTTGTGGGGCTGGTGGATAACTTCAGATTGTAAGTGCTTAAACAACCACCCTTTAATACTGGAAAAATCCAGAGTGGTTCTCGAAAGGAAACGTGTGAGAGCTCTGGATGGAAATGGTTGGTGTCTGTTTCTGGAAAGAACTGTGTGGAGCTGTAAGCAGCTTCTTCCCATCAGGGTGCCTGCTGGGAGGAGGACGTGCATTGGTGCAAGGGAACCTGGTGTGTACCCTGCTATGTGCCTGCTTGTTTGCTAGAGAGACAAGTTGGGAATTTAAAGAGCAAGTGTTGCTGTCAGTAAAAGCAGATGTGCTGCTTCCAGCTCAGTCCTGCAGAGACAACCCTGCCTGTTTACCACTAAGGAAATGGGGAGTCCCATGGGATGCCAGTGGAAGGACTTGGAAACCTCCCACAGCTCTCTCCTGGATCGGGGCTGACGCCTTCATCTCTTTTTACCTTCCACTAATATCTTGTGAGCCAAAACAAAAAGAACAGTGCATGAAAACTGTGTGGCAGCACTTCTACTTGACTTCTTATTCACAGAGTCCTGGAGCAATTCCTAGATTTTCTGGTGAGCTGTTGAAATGACTCCGGTTTCCCTGCTGCTAATACGAACCTTGTTAGTGAGACAAAGCGAGAAGCGCCAATCTGCGTTACCCTGAGCCGGGGTGAAGCAGTGTTGTGCTGTGCCCTGCTTGCTCGGCCTCCTGGCACGTGTGTGTGTTGTGCTGCAGCTTGCCTCTGCCCCTTCCAGCTGGGCAGGGTCAGGAGGGCTCTGTCCTGCTCGTGGCACTGCCTGAGGAGCTGCTGCACTTGCATGATATTTGGTTTATTTGTAAAACAAACAAACAAAAAACCCATGTCAATTGGCTATGTATTCCATTTATCCTGCAGAGAGGAGTAAGTTGTGCTACAGTATTATGTCCTATAAATGAGCTGACATCACTTTTTTGTTCCCTTCAGTGAGCGGCACCCTCTCTTTGGAGAGGATGGGTGACTGCCACGTCCTGGTGAAGGCTGGTGCTGGCCACTGCTGAAAGCTTCTGGGCATTTTGAAAATAGAATTAAGACCTTAAGAAATGGTGCAGTTTGTTGGCAGGAAGCACCATGACGTACGTTATTTTCTGTGAGCGCCTTACCTCATTCCTGCTGCAGACTCCAGTCGGTGAGCAGTGAACCCTAATGAACATGAGCTTTCTCCAGTTCCTTGCTTGCAGGGTTGCATGCTGTAACTGTAGAGACAGAGATGTCTGACAGCTGCTCCAGGAGCAAAACACTGACTTGGTCATTGGGCATTAAATTCAAAACAGTTGTTGCACAGAAATACTGCTTTGTTTAGGCACTGCTCTGAGTCAGTGGACTGACAGTGAACTTTTAGAGCTAAGTAGGAGCAATTGATGTTAATTTGCAGGAGAGAAAATAGATCTTCAGCAACTCTTGGTTTCTTTTTTTTGTTTTTTTTTTGTTGGTGTTTTGGGGTGGTATCTTTGTGGAAGCATCACATTCTGGAGAATGAAGCAGGAGCATTAATATTTAAGGAGCTTCGCTAGCTTTTTTTCAACTGGGCTGTTTATAAAAGGCATCGTACAGTACAAAAATGTGTTTTTGGAAGCAAAGGGGGATGAACTGATGCAGAAGAGCACAGCAGTTATCTGGACTGCAGTGAGCTGATGCCAGCTGTGCTGATGGAGATGGGGGACAGCTCACAGTGCAAGGAGCCTGTGGTCCATGCAGCTGAGTGGGCATTGGAGCCTTTACCTCCAGAAGGAGAACAGAGGGCTGGACTTATTGAAGTAACTTGTCTGTCACTGCAAGTTGAACGTGATGCTGTCATTTCCTTGCCCAGCTATTGTGTAGGAGAATTTCCTGTGCAGCTAAAGGGGGCTTAGACTTCAAATATATTTTTTCCAATTGCAGTATTTTTGCAGCAGGATATTATGGCAGAGGCTTAGTGAAGGAGGCTTGCCATGTGTGCGACTCTCAGACTCGTATTTGGAGGTCTGAGGTGGAATGCACTAAAATGCATGTCGTAGCAAGGATTCTTTGTCTCCCCCTTGCCCTTTGAACATGCTGATGGCTGAGGAAATGACAGTCTGACTTGTCTGTAAGGTCAGTGGCTTCCAAGCGCTTTCTGTTAAACCTCTGTTTCTAATATTTTCTGAGGTTCTTGAATTTGGTCCAATGCTCGTTTCCTAGTTTGTCAGGAAATTGTTTTGCTGCTTTATTGAATGAACTGCAAAATAATCCTAGGGAAGGGAAAAAGTCTTAAGGAGATTCTCAGCGGTGCTTTAGCTGCTGGTGCCAGGTAGGACTGTACAGATCAAAGGTATCCGTCTGGCTTTTTTATCCTTATTGCTTTCAGCAATGATATTAAATTGATTCTTGGGCAACTGGGAAATGCTAGGCTGAAGTAAATCAATAGATGCACAGCAGTCTCCCTCCACGGTACCAGCAGGACCCCGGCTGATCAAGGGGCAGCTTTAGGATCCATCAAACTCAACGAGTGCAACAGAGGAGAAACTGCTGTGAAGTTCTTCTTCCTCACATACTTGGTAGAAAGTTCATGAGTTGAGTTGATGATGTTGTGCTTAAGCTTTCTGGTCGGCTTGTTTGGGTGTTGGGTTATGGCTGGCTGGATCATCCACTTGTTGGCCTTCTGAGACGTGTGTTTGTCTGGACACAAGCCTGGCCTTCCACCTCTATGGCAAAGAATGACAAACAGCCCGTGAGGAATTTCACATTTCACATCAGCATTAATGACTTTAATGTACACTATTACGAAAACAATCTCTCTTAGTTATCCTGTCCTTTCGTGGGTCATGCTTGGTATTTACTTTATTATGTGTTCTCTGATAGTGTCCCACCCTCTTGCTGCATAACTTGTTTTCCTGGAGGCTGGACGTGCCTCTTGTTGAAAACATTGCCAAGCAAGAACTAAATAGCTGGCTTGAATTAACTGCTAGAAAATGTTTCTGCTCAATCTGTGTAGGAGGATAGAAAGGGAGAGGCTGTATCCTGACTGTGGAATAATGCAGAAATCAGAAGATAAGTAACTTCCAGTAAGCAGTAAACTTTTTCACTAAGTTCTTATTAAAGAATGTGAAAAAATGACAAAATAATGGTGCACTTTGAGTAGTGACCTCCTTCTCAGCACTGGCCGGGCTTCTGCTGTGCCTGCCAAAGCCAAGCTTCATATAATAGATGCTTTCTTAAAATAAAGCTGTATTGAAAACCAGCGAGAGGCTTTAGTGATACTAAACCCCCACCCAGATATTAAGTGCTCAAAGGGGTTTTTGTATTGTCACTTTTTTTTTTTCCACTGATGTGATAAAACTGCTGATGTGACTGGAGAAATTGGGGAATGGCTCGAAACTTGGTGAGTTCCAGGAAGAGCCACGGCTTGGGCATGTGGTGGCAGTGGTGGTGGCACAAACAAGTGCTGCAGGGCGCTGTCTGTCCCTCCCTGCACCCTGGTTAAATTATGTCCATTCCTGGAACGTTGCCACAATCCCAACGTGTGCACGGTAGGCTTTGCATGTTGGCATTGCTCTAGGTAACAGCTCGCTCCAGGCTTATCTCTATCCCCTCTAAGCAGGGAAGTGTCAGACCTTAATTCCCTCCGGGCTGTGTCATTGAACCGCAGCATCTCGTTTTATCCCCTTATACAGAGACTTAAGGAAGATGCAGCAGTTGAGTGCTGTGGTGGTGCTGGGCCTGGGCAGCTCCTGGGAGATCTGCTCTGACCGCCAGCTCATTGACCTGGGAGTCCTGGCTGCTACCAGCCACTGTGTAGTGGCACTTCTCCTGTGCAGTCCTCCTCGTGCCCGGTCCCCTGGCACCTGCTGGCTGGGACCTAGCTGTGCTGCTGTGACATTGCACCCTTCTGTCAGCCTGGGTGTCGCGAATTTTAATTCAACCTCCGAGGAATGTTGGAGGAATTTTGAAATATTTGTTCCACAGCCCAGGAGTTGTCTGGGGAGAAGGCAGGCTTGGTCACCCTCCAGCAGCGAGGAGAGCAGCAGCCCCTGCAGCTCTGCTGCCCAGCTGTGACTGCCTATGAAAAGCAAGCTGTGTTGCAGGAGGGAGCTGGGCTGCTCTGGGTCCAGAGTGTGGCTAGAGAACAGGGCTTCCTTCCCCTTCTGGGTGTGATGGCTTGGGTATCTGGCTCCTATGGATCTGTTGCTGTTAGCGTTTCTATTCAGAATGAACGCCCCAGACTTTTTTGCTTGGCCTCTTTAACTGGGAAAGAAGTGCGTATATCACATTCTTTTTGAATTTTGAGAATCCAGAGTATTATGTTGAGAGCTGTACAGTTGAATCCTGTAGTGTAGAGAAGCTGTTGTGACTCTCATATTCCTTTCTTCCTGCTACAGAAAACAGTATGCTAACTGAACACAAAAATGTTCTCAGACTGAGCAGCTAGATTGGCACAGATAAAAATGGTAATTATAAGAAGGCCCTACCTGTTGAAGATCTGGCACGGTGCAAATTCCAGCTTGCTTAGCAAAGGGCATTGCAGTGGGAGAGGCTTTAAAGATCAAGTCTGGTTCCAGGTGCAAGATTTACCTCCTGGGCTTTGTCTGATCTGCCAAACAGTTACCAGCAGTGGATTTCCTTCCTGACTTGCCCTCTCTGGCTGTGTGTGGGTATGGGATGGTGCTGGCAGGCAGCTGTCCCAGTGTGGAAGGAAGCACTCCTCTTGGAAAGCTTCGTGTGGCATTGGTGCGAGGCTGCTGTGCTGTCCTGGCCCTTGGCTCTTTTTTGGTGTTATCAGGAAGCTGCATGAGAAAAGGAGGACTGATATCTCCAGAGGCAGTGTCCAAAACCCAAGGGAAGGAGATGAGAGGCACACACAAATGTCACAGTTAAACACTTAATAGGATTTAGGGAGGTTTCTTTTTTTTTTCAGATGTATTCTGTTAATTTTTCTATGGTCTCTACAGAGCTGTGCCATTCTTAGTGAAGCTAAAACCAATTAGGGCAGAAGTTCTGATTTAGACTTTGAGTTTTCAAGTTTAAACTAAGTTACAGATAGCTTTCAAGGTCAATATGTGGTTGCATGCTATGAAATTTAATTGATATTTTCTTCCCTAAAGCATCGACATATTAGCAGGCGGCTCATCACTTGCATAGAATTCCCTTGGACATCATTAGATTTAACCTGGGATGCTTTATCTCTGAAGGACTCTTATTCACATTTGAAATGCTCTTTTTCCAGAAACAGGTGATAAATTCTGCTTAGCATTCCCAAAGTAAAGTATGCAGAATGAGAAACAGAGGAGGAAGAGGGATTTAAGTGTGGGAGCACACCTGTGTAATAATGAACAGAAATGTTCTAAAAGAAGAAAGATGGGTGAGCTGAAAATAAACCTTTTAAGTGAAAAACAAAGCAGAGCATTTAAATGCACAAATATTGCCAAGTTAGAAGTAGTTTTATTTAAAGTATCTGCCTTTAAAATAGGTGTTGTCATTCTTGTGTTTTATAAATGGGTAAACTGCTGGGACTTGTCTGCCCCTTGTCCAGCTCTGAGAGCATTCCCAAATGCAAGGAGAACAAGGAGTGCTTGTCCTAGGAGGAGTGTGTTTGGGGGGATCGCTCAACCACGTAAATGCAGTATGCAAGAAGTGAGTGCTCGTGGTCTTCAGGGGTTTGGACTCCTTTCAAGTTGAGAACTGAGCATCTAAGCAAGGCATTCTGGATTATTAATCACCTTATATTCAAGTCCAAGTTTTTTCATAGCTAATGAGATTTTTCCAGAGTGGACAGTACCTGAGCAGTGCATTTAGTATAATAACATACAGTAACAGAAAAATTATCAGTGAGCCAAATGTTATGTGATTCCTATGCTGGACTCTGTCCTATTTATTCTTGGCAAGAGCTGGCGCACCATAAGGGAGCGGTGACGCTTCCAGAGATCTGTGGCACGTGACGTGTTTTTCTGCACCGAAGCACGAGGCGACGTGCCATGAGATGTCAGCTTCCCGTTTCATAAGCGAGGCTGTGCCGGCCAAGGGTGCCGGCAGTGCTGGGAGGCGGGCAGGTGGAGCTGCTCTCAGGAGCATCCTGAGCCCCCCAGCCCCCACACGGCCGGGTTCTGCCTCTGATCGGAGCTCTGGCATTTACGTCAGGAGTCGGGTGAGCAGCACCCAGGCCTGAGAGCAGCCAGAAACAGCAGAGGCTTTTTATTTTCTTGCGTAGTCAAGCGAAAGGAACAATCTCTCTTTTATGTTGGTAGCCAGGATTAAATTATTCTTGGACTCATTATTAAATGAAGCATATGATTAAATGTTGAAACGAAGAGTATTATCTTTCATATCTTCCTTGGAATGAGGGGGGAAAAACATATGGATGAGTCAGTTCCTGTATCCAAAACAGTGGGGGAGAAGGGAGCTGTGCTCAGACGCAGAATCCCGGGTCTGGTTCCCTGCATGCAGGAGGTGCGTGGCACAGAGCAGTGCTGTGCCTGGAATGGAACATCGTGGTGCTCCAGGAGCCCGTGCTGTCCCCAGGGGGCTGGTTCCCTGCAGGTGCTGAGAAGCTGAACCCCCCAAGGACCCAATTTCCAATCACTGAGTTAAATATGTACGTTGTGAAGCATGCTTCAAGCCTACCCATGGGTGGCTAAATACAGAAATGTTTCCCTGCTGCGGCAGCTTGCTGAGATCCCAGTGAGGTCTGTGCTGTGCTGCATGGGACTGCCTTGAGAGCTGCGTCTCAAAGGTCTGCAGAGCAAAGGTGGCTGACCAGAAAGGAAAAAAAGATCCAAGAGAGAATGTTCACTTTGTGCTGTGGGTGGCAGTTTGCTAAAGCAGTCTCAAAAGCTTTGAGGGAATTTGTTGTGAAGAACTTGAATAATAAACTTCCAGCATTCTTGTTTTCTGGTGGTAGTGAGTGTACTTCTTCACTTGCAATCTGTAGTAAGGAAAGTAAATTGGTGGAAGTGCACACAAGTTAGGGATGGAGTGTTTTGAGAGCATTAAGGCTACCATAAGAAATAAGATCCTGGGTGACAAGGGCACTTACTCTGGGCTTCCCAGTGGTTAGTCCATAAGAGAGGTGGGCTCAGGAACACAGGCTGACAATGAAAAAAGGCTGCTTCTGGCTGCAAAGTGATGCTTTGGCAATTAGTGTGCTAGCCAAGTGGCTAATTTATGAGACAGTGGTTACCCAGCAAACAAAAGGCAGGGAGGAATGTATTGGGTGGCCAGCTGTGCTCTGCTGCCAGTGCTTCCTGGAGGCAGTGGGCTCTGTTCTGCAAAGTTCCTGTATTTGTTGCTGAGATAAAGTTGTTAAAGCAGAATAACCTTTTTCCCTCTATGAAAGTAGAACTTTTCAATTGATTTCCTGGACATGTTCATAGTGCTGGAGTAGTTTGCCCTATGCAGTTACCGGCTTTCTTTACATGTTCAAGAGCTAAGAATTTGAGAAGGCAGAGGAAATCTGCAAATCAGAAATAAAAGGGAAAAAGGCAGCCCTCATCTTGCTGCTCTGTGCTGCCAAGCAGCCCTGTCGCAGACCTGTGCTGCTGTCAGGTGTTTGGCTCCTGACTCATAGTGCTTGGGGTCTGAGCAGAGAGTGGGAAACTCAGTCTTGTTCCTGAAAGTCGGAGAAGCCAAGGTCTCCTGAATCCATAACAAAGCTCATAGCCCAAAAGTTTGCTGCTTAGGAGCATCCTCAGCATTTCTTTGTGCTGATCCCAGAGGTGTGAGTGGGGCTGTGCAGCAGAAGCTGCTGTGGAGCTGACAGCTCACCTCCTGTCACTTCTCCTTTGCTCTCCACTGCCTTTCTGCAGCCTCCGTACCCGTGCTCCTCCCGGAGGCTGTTAGCAGGAGCTCCTTGAGCCATCACTGGGATGATGTCAGGAATGACTGAGACTCAATTGCAAGGAGTGCATGAGTTGGTGTGTGCATTGCAAGGCTTCGTTTTGTAGCTCTGCTGTATTGAAACACACGGCTGCTTTTGCACAGTGCATGCATTGCTGTTGTCTGCCTGGTAAACCTTCTCATACAGCTATTAAAAGTATTTGCTTTATTGCTGCATCGGCAGTGCTATTAATAGTCTAACTTGGTAGGAATGAGTGGAAGTTGGTGCATGAGTACAGGCCCTACACAGGCTCCATTTTGTTATTTTTATTAGTGACAGATGTATTTTGTTGGCATGCTGTCCCACACAGCTGAATTGCATTGAGCTACTCATGCTCTTGGAACTGTGCTTTTAAAATAATAAAAAAAAAAAGTTCAGACTAGAGCTGAGCTTTAGGTTGAGCCTGCTGGGTTGTTTGTGTAATTACTTAGGAGTTTATCGCAGACTTGCTGAACAGTGTTTATAAATCAGATTTCAATAAAGTTTGCAGTGTCAATAAACCTGGGGAATGACTTGGCAGTCGGCTCTTGAACCACTCATGGGCAAAGTACAGTGACAGCAATATCACAGAGCCGTGGGTGCTGGTGTGCCCGGCTCCCTGGCAGCCTGCAGCCTGGGGCCATCCCCTGCCATCTTGGTTCACATCTTCAAACGAGCCTGCCCGCTGTGTGCTGATAGCATTGATTCCAAATTGGCAACTAATGAAGCGGATCAAATACACTGGGGATGCGGCAGTTCTTCCAGAAATTAAAGCTTTTATTGTGGAAGTGTGGAAATGGGAGACTATTAATTTCGTTCTCTTGACAGTTGTTATTAAATCCGGCTTAGTTCACGTGGTATTGGTTCTTTTTAATTCTGATATTTCAGCGCACTGGAGAGCGGTGTGAGAAAGCTCAGTCGCTGCAGAAGTCGCTGACAGATCGGACTGCTTTGTAATGGGAGGAGCTGGGGTTGTTTCTGATATTGCAGTGTCCAAGCAGAACGGCCTTGCTTGCATGCTAACGCTATTACTAAGGGGAAAACGGTGTGAAAAGGAAATCTCTTATCCAAGTCGACATGGGGGATTTCCTAAGCACGTGTAAGTGTGAGTAAGGAAGCTGTGAAGGGGAGGGCTGGCCGATGGGATCCTTCAGCTCCTGGTGCTGTTCAGAGGAGGCCTCCCAAGATGCTCACGGCAAAAAGTGTGATGGGTTTTATTTCAAACCTATGCATCATTTAACTTCATTGCTCAAGTGAAAATCCACCCAGTGCTAAATCAACCTAAACTCATTTTTTTTTTTTCCTGTTTCTGCATTGCTGGTTTGATCCCTAGATATAGAAGATCAGCAGAAATCCCCCACCATTTAAAAGGATTAGAACTAGCTGGTGAGGTTTTGGCAGTGGAATTAACTTGTGGGAGCTATTCTGCAGCACTAATGCCCGGGTCAGGCACGTGGATGGGCTGCGTGTGTCTGCATTGAGCAGAAAGCGAGATGCAGTTCTTCAGTGTCTGCAGCCTTGCTGCTGGATGTATGGCTGCCCCTTTTTTTCCAACCCTAATTCCCATCTGTTTGCTGCTCAGCCCTCCGTGTGGAACCTGCTTATCTCACGATTGTGGTTAATGACTTCCCCAAGCATGGTTGTCTACATTCGCCTTTCTTCCGGCACCCACATACAAGCTGGAAGGCAGAGGGGTCTGGCAGGCCTTGTGACAGCAGCTTTCTGCTTAGCTGCATTGCCTGCCACTGCTATCGTGTTTGCAAAACTTTCCTGCATTTCTTGGAGTGATAACAGGGTGCTTATCTAAGTGGTGTAGTAATGTGGGAGGTAAGGGTTTACCTGGCCAAGGTGAGGATGGCTTCTGCTCACAGGGGAAGTGGAGGTGCTGGGTGCAGGGAGAAGAATGCCCAGTGCTGCTTTGCTCTTCTCCGGCTGCAGAAGGGAGGACCAAAGTCCTGCTGCCAAAACTGGAGGAATCAGACTAGTTTCTTCATCTCTGCAAGCACGCTGGGGAAGCCAGCGGAACTTTACCTGGGTGCTCCTTATCCTTTTATGTTTGAGCCTTAAATTGTTTTGTTAGAAATGGAAATGAGCCTTCTGGTTTTGATATATTTCCTGTAATGTTATCTTTTTGTTCTCAGTTAGCACTCACTGTGACTTTTTTGGTACCTTTGGTGGGCCTGACCGTTCTGTTGTGTTAATCCCAGCTATTTTTGACACCAGTATTAAGTGAGGATGTTTAAGGAGAGCATCAGTCAAATTGCCTTCAGGCAACCTTTGTCCTCCTGTGACTGACCGACTCTAATCTTTGCTCCAAGGAGCCCTGTGGCCATTGCGGTAGGTGATGGCCGTGTTTGTCCTGCAGCAGCTTTATCTGTAGTGTTTGTGCTGTGAGGCAGTGAGGCTGCTGCTGACAAGTTCTTTGCAATACCAGGCAAAGCACTGTTGGTGATATTCCTTCCAAGGAGGCCGCCTTCAGCCAGGAGATGTTCTCCTGTTGGAGGACTTTAATGAGCCCAGGTGAGGGGAGGGGGGTGGACCCTGGATCCACCCTGTGGTCACGTGGGAAGCACAGGTGAATTGCTTGCACTTGTGCTTCCTGGGCTCCTCCCTCCCTACTCCTTCACCAGGTGCTTAGTCATCAGTTCAGGCTGTGACATAACAGTTTCCTACAGCTAGATATTACAGATACCAGACCTGGGCAAAAAGCAAGCAACTTGCCTGAGGTCGGATAAGCCACGTGTGACAGTTACTGGTGTCTCTGTGTTCTTTGCTTGCCAGGCTGCTCAGAATTTCTCAGAAGCTGTTTGCTTTTTTTTTTCCTACCTTTTTACAGCACATAGCAGTGTGATTTTGATTTAAGCCTTGAGCCTTTGATTTAAGCATGCGGGAGCTGCTGCAACGCGGTAATTGTGAGCCCTTGGAGTCTCTCTGCATGTAACGATCATCATTCGGACAGAAGTAGTGAAAGGATTGCAAATACTCTTAATTCCCGTTCTCGTGCTGTCTGCTGGCTTGTTAATAAATTCTCAAAGCTTATATGATTAAAAACTTGAGAACCTGGTGTGCTGTGTGCTCTAATTACATGTGGTGGAAACTCAAAGCTCCCTTTGAAGCGCTGTGAAAATTGGAAGATGGCTTTGGGGATTGGGTCCTGGCAGCAGAGGAGGAGTGTTGTCACCCTGTCACATCAGATGGGCTCTGATACAGGGGCAGGACACGGTTGTTCTCTACTCCTGATTTATTGCAAGGAGCAAACATAAGTTGAGGTTGGCGCACAAGCTCCTGGCTGTGAAGAGCTGTGCTGAGCACATCTGATAAACTGTGGCTTCTCGGGCATTAAACAAGGCTCAGTAACACTGGCTGTGTTGTTTCCATATACCTGCAGCCTGGGGAAAGGCTCTGCTTTCAGGATCAGTTTGTTTCAGATCCCAAAGGACAGCAGCTGTGGCAGGAGGGTGGCTCTGGGTGCACGAGCACAGGTCTCCCTTGGAGCACGGCAAGCTGTGCTGAAGGGAGGAACGTGAGAGTCAGGCTTGTGCTTTGCCCTGCCCTGGGTCCCAGGGAACCAGAAGAGTACCTTGCACTGCTGGAAGCTTGCTTTTATTAAAGAGTAATCAGTGGTAGATATGCGAGCATAATTTACTGGGTATCAGAATGTGTCTTTAAACACAGCACTGAATTAAAAAAGAAAAACTGCTTTGCATGGTTTTATTGTTTCTTTATGAAATACAGCTGTTGAATTTGTGTTTTCCCTTGTTAGATTCACTGTCCCCCAGCCATTCATCATTACAGCTCTTCAGAGTCATGATTGCTCCCCAGCTCTAGTATTAAAAACTCATAAGAAGAGTCTGGTTGGGATTTTGCAAGCACGTGTGGTATCTCAGCATCACAGCTCTCATTAATTTTTGTGACATTCAGGGTTCAGATCCCACAGACAGCCTTTTGGAAAGATTTTGTTTCCACGAATGAAAAAGCAGTGAGGGATTTTTATGCCTCTAAACCTTTTTTTTTTTTTTTTTAAGTAAATAGCAGCAAGCAATTGTGTCATTCTGTTAGGCCACTTGTGGAAGCTCTCCTCCTGCATAGAAGGCAATGTGTGTTGGGGTTGGGAGCATGCGGAGTGCTGGAATTAAAGCTGCATCTCTGTAGGTACATATTTAGAACTCAAATATTACTGCAAGTTGAAACAACTTTGGCTGCGTGTGCAAATTACTTGGCAAAAGTGTTGATTTCCTTGTTAAACGTTGTAGCAGAAAGGGCCTTTGATCCCAACAGGCTGTTGGGAGCCCTTCCTAATTGTTATCAAACTATCCTGTAGCTTTAAGCAGATAAGGCTTAATTAGCTAAAGTGGTGTTGTGTTTTTTCAAAACGGAGTGCCCTGCCGATGCTGGGCACCTGTGTTTGTGCTCTGCCAGCACAGATCGCTGCCCTGTGCGGTGGTGGGGGGACGTGCGAGCCCTCCTTGCCCGTAGGTAGCAGGCAGCATTCTCAGCTCTCGTCCTCACAACGTGCACTGGTGCTAATGGGAAAGTTTTTGTTTTGCAATCTTTGTGCTGTGAAAAAGAAGGAAAATAGGAAAAATCACATTGGTGTAGAGTAAGGTCTGACTTCCTTGCCTTGACACCAAATCGTCTCCCCATTAAAAGGCACGGTTGACTGAGTCTCCTTTGCTACTTTTACCTGAGGCCATTAGTGAGGCCTCCACAGAGGAGGAGGAAGGAGAAAGAGAGCTTGGAAACGCAATATTCTTCTGTCTCCTTCACCCATCTGCTTCCAATGGGAAAACTGAAGCATTAAGGATTTGATTCAACACCTGTTAGGTTACTCAAGGAAACACAAAGACTTTACCAGATGTTTAAGAAGAAACATATGGCAGGCGGGGAAGGAGAGCCTCTGCCAATTTGTCTGTTTAATCAATCAAACTTGTAACAATCGATGCTATTGTCCATGCCCTTGATAAATAATTGCTCCTGTGCAATACTGCTGGATGCAGTGCAGAACTTCACTAATTGCCCCTCACAGTGGGCAAAACAGAGGAGGTAAGAGGTCCTGCTTTCTTCCCTTGCTGATGGTACAGAGCTGTTGGATTTTTTTCCTTCCATTTTTAAGCCCCAAACAAAAAAATTCTGGTAATAGATGAAAGCAGAACTCATAACCACCTGCATGGATTTTTAGAGGCCACTTGAAATTAAGTTTTGGTGGGTATCAGGGAAGGTAAAGAGAATAGGATTTTGTTTCTTACGGTACTTTATGAAGGTGGACTCACTGAAGTCAGAAACTTGGGTTCCTTGCTGCTTTTTATGTAAAAAAACGGACAGTAACAATGCTGGGGTTGCTGTCACCACAGCCTCCCATCCTCTGCAGTTGTCTTACAAATATTGTTCCTGTAACTCCAGAGCAACACCTGCAGCAGTGTGGTATGGGAGGAAGAACGGTGCTTTTAGGTGGTTTCCTGAAGAAATGCTCAACTCTGATCCCTCTCAAAGCTGTTTTTTGGCCAAGCACCATCGGGGATCCAACCCCGAGCGTTGCACCTGCGTCCTTCGGGCTTCAGCCACCAGCAAATGAGCAAGTCATACAGGCATGGAGCACGTCAGGATAAGCAGGTTGTCATTAGAGGCAGGGCACAGTTCAGCTCCTGACGCTGTTGCACAGTAGTGTGCCTTCTGTCGCATCGTAATGATTAATCACAGCCTTGCACCCAGTGTTACCGGGCAGCACGCGTTTGCTTAACAGTCAGTAACTGCTATACAGACTCAGCTGGCTTAATCCCTGGTGACTGTTTTCTAATGCTATCAGTGCTGAACAATGGGATATCATGACAGCTTGTGATTGATGCTTTTTTTCCTCTCCCCCACCTTGTGTCAAAGAATTGGGGTTTTCCCTGTGTCAGATGCTGACTTAGTTCCCTTTTACTCTCAGCAGTTGAGCGCTGCATTTGTTGCTGCCATTATCTAACAACTTCTAATTCTTCTCTGTTTTAAGATTTGCCCAAGTACCAAATCAGGGTATTTCCTTTCTGTCAGTTCTCTGCTTGTCGGTTGCTCAGTGGTTAGGCACTGGGGCAAGTGCTGAGGGAGGCTGAAGGCCCTTCTCTCTGAAGCCCCCACTAGCATCCTCAGGTAACAGTGCTGGAGTCTCTTCTGCATTAAAATGAAGGTGGAACCAGGTTTATTCTGATAGGAAACAACAGTGGTTGTCACAGTGAGCGCACAGTTTGTAGAAGGGCAGTCAGGGTTTGTCTTCACCTCTGTTATGTGAACAGGATAGGAGAGTTTTTCTCCATAGATGTGTGAGTGAGTGATTTGAAATGCACCCAAAAAGACTAAGGCCTACTTTTCTTAATTCCTACCTTTTTGCCTGTGTCGTACGAAGCATTACAGAAAAACCTGGTTAGACCTGGACAGGCGTAGCTTCAGCTGTCGAGCCCTTTGTCAACACGACGGCTATCGCTAAGTGAAGCATATGCTGATCCTGGTCTAAATATGTTTTTCTTCCCTTGTCTGACACTGTGTTAATTAAAACATCCTTTTATTGGAGGAACTGCTGGTGGCGAGCATCCCACCGGGCCTCTCCTTGCCAACCTCCCTTGTTATAGTCTTGAATTTCTTTGGAAAAGCCAATTCTCCCATTTTTAATATTTCCAGACACCTCTTTTCTTGCTACTCTGTTCCTTATGACTGCTGGAGTAATGGCTTTGTTTGCCCTATGGGCTGAATTACTGCTCTGCAGACTTTTTACTCGTTCTTTTTTTTTTCTCCAGCCTTTCTGGATGTCTGAAGTAGGCTTTCCTGCTTTAATCCAGATCACTGGGATTTGCTTATATATCAAATGCAAATCTCTTTGCATCCGTAATCCTTCCCCATAAACTGTTGTTGACTTTTCTGTGGGATTTTTTATTTTATGCCCTATCTCAATGGGTACATATGTTCCGAGGTTTGTGGTTTTGAAAAGTGCATCCCGAGTGAGTTATGAGACAGATCTGTGCTAATATGGCTTGACAGCTCACTGCAGTGTTTGGAGGAGGATTGTGCTGAAATGCAGCTTCTATCCTGTCTGAGCTCTTGTATTTTTTCTGAGATAGGAGGAGGAAAAGTTTGTCTGCACTCTGAAGACGTTTTTGTTTGCTCACCAGACTGAGAGCCAGCACATGCGCTGTTCTGGGATCATATGTTCTTCTGTGCTTGTTGAAGAAACAGTGAGGTATCTGTGGTGCTCGAAGACATGGTGAGGCTGGGGGCAGTGCTGGGTGAAGCACGGGTCCCTGGGGTTGGATTCAGCAAGGGCCGGCCCCATCTGAGCCTCTCGTGAAGGTGTGCTGTGACTTGCTTTCCTTACGTCTGTATTAAGTTACTGTTAAAGGGAAAAAGAAGGAAAGCTCTTCTAACCCCAAGTATCACAGATTCTGGCTTGTTCTCGAAGTAGGCATATTAGTATGGAGCAGGTTTATCAGCAGTGTAGCAGCGTCGTATTTGGTAGGAAAGAAATGAAAGAACATTTGGTAGGAAGGAAAAAGAAAGAAAACAAGTCAACTTATTTTCATCTTAACTAGAATATGCCTAATTAAAAGAAAACAACAAACAAGCAAGGATCTAGACTGTAACAGCTAAGTGTGCTTTCATCACAGCACAGTTCTTTCATGCTGCTGTTTTCTGTCACAAGGCTTGTGCTGAGAAGCAGGTAGTGACTAATAAGTTGTGAATACACTTGCGAATGGTTTGGGGTTAGTGCAAGGTGAAAACATGAAGCAATTACCCAAGATCTATTACCTGCTGCCTACCTTTTAAGGAGGCCATTACCGTATTTAACAGCTAGTTTTCACTGCCACGTTGCTGGACGATTTCTTCGTGGTGAGGACAGCAGAAGCGCAGCACTGGTGTCAGTGGGCCGTTGTTGCTCAGCGCTGACGCAGAGATGTGGGCATCTGTGCATCTCCCCCCAGCACGGGGCACTCTGTGCAGCTCAGGCGGTGTGATGGCAGGGAGCCCACCGGGATCTCTGCTCGGATGGCAGGGATTCATCAGAAATGGCACAAAAGGCTTTTGCTGGCAGCGTTGTTCAAAGCTAACCCTGAATGCGAAGATTTTGCAGCCTAGCGATGCGCTCGGGGCCAGCCGGCGGTATTTATTCCATCTCCTTGGTGAGGAGCTCGGATGACGTTGTTGCTAATTCCTTCTCTGGAAGTGTGGCTCTTCTGCATATTTATCGGTGTGTGTGCGGGAGCAGCTCCGCTCCGCCGGGGCGCTGCAGCGAGCGGGCTGTCAGTTTGAGAGGCAGACAATTGAATCACGGCACTAAAACATGCCACTCCAAAGCTGTTTAAATCATCGTAATGCGAGTTAGGAATTTATTACAATACGCATTACCTCAGGGGACAGAGAGGGAAGGGAGATCTGAAGGGGCTGTTTGTAAACATGTGAAACAATAAGCGTTTCCTGCGTCGCCGCCGTGACAGGGCTGTCTTGCTGAAATGCAGCGTGGTACATACGTGGGGAGCAGCTCACCTGGGGCCGGCTGGCTCTCAGTGCTAGCAAAATAAAAATTATTAAAAAACCTGCTGCCAGAAGACAGACCCAGCAACAAAGCCGGGACGCTGTGCCTGTGGGCTGCGTGGTGCTGGGCTCGGAGCGCTGCCTCCTTACCTTCCCAGCTCCACAGAGGTGGCCAATGCCTATTGCCATCAGCCCGCCTGTGGGTGTCTGTTTCTGCTATGTGAGCCGCTTGGTGCTCTGTGGATTTGGTGCTGGTTGGGGTGAGCGTTGTAGGCCTGGTGAGCCCCTCTCGCTGTGCCTCCAGGACGAGGGGAAGCTGATGCTGAAGGTGTCTGAATGTGAAACAGTGCATCTTTCTTCCGGGCTTTGGCTCTCCTCCTGCTGGGTGTGCACACCTTGCAGCCTGGGTAGCAGTGGGCATGTAAAGCAGAGCAAGTTTTGCTCAGAGATTTCCTGACCAACATCGATAGGGCTTTCGCTGGCCCTGATTACTTCCCTGTTAAAAGGGACTTTTGATGCCAGGAGAGCGGCTTTGGCCACGTGCCCTGATGCTCTGCACCACACAAGTAGCAGAGCCCCTGTCACGGCTCCTGCCCTGAGCACAGGGGCCAGGTCTCTGGCTGTACAGTGTGCTGTTTGCCACGCGGCTGCTGGAGGTGTGTTGTGTCTGTGCTTTGGGCAGCCTGCCTCCAAATCAAGGGCTGGGAGGCTGCGGACTCCCCAGTGCTACCTGAAGGCTTTCCTCCTCTCCCCTCCTGTCATGGGTAGCAGCAGCACAAAGCATCCTGCAGGGTGCTCAACATCTCCCCAGACAAGGCTCCTGCAGATAAGCAGTGCTTGTTTTGGGGTTTTCTCCTGCTTTGAGCAGCCGTGCTGATGCTCAGTGTCTGACAGCTTCAGCCCTGACTTCCCAGATGCTGGGCAGTGTCCCATGGAGCCATTCGGTTCCACAAGCGAGCAGTCAGTCCTCTGTGAGCTACGAGGGCAGACGCTCCCTCATGATGCTCTGCTCCTCAGCATTCTTCTGTGTGGGTGAGGCAGCTTGCATGGTCTGAGAATAAGCATGCTTCGAGAGCTCTGGGAGGGCTGGTGCTGATGTAAAGTGGAGAACCTCAACCTGGTGCAGGGTGTGCTGCCAGCATGCTGGCTGTCCTTAAAGGACTTCTGGATATACTGCACCACAAGACTGCAGCAATTTGGCTGCAAGCTATATTTAGCCTATTTATTCTTTGTTGGTGTATAATGTGCAGTTCAGTGGAAAACTTGGTCTCTCCAAAAAGGAGATTTGAACTGGAGTCAAGACAGGGAAAACACCATCTGTCTAGAGAACATTTTTTCTTAAGTGATTTGAAAGGGAAGGCTGCATGTGAAATAGATGTACACAGCACTTGTTCTGCTGCTTGTGTTTGTTTGTTTGTTTGTTTTTTGTTTAACGTTTTTTGTCATCGGAGTTCTTCCTTTCTCTAGTTCTGTTATTGTTACGCTCTTTTGAAAATAGAGAGAAATGCACTTTGTAGTTCAGCTTGTTGGATGAACTCTGTAGGAGTGGCTGTGCTGTGCCAGCACTCTGCACAGCCTCAGGAATTACCTCTGGGAAGCTCTGCACTCGAGATGGGCCCCATCACATCACATCCCAGGGAGGACAAGTGCTCAGCATGCAGCCTTCATGTTTGTCCCTGCTTTTGCCCAAGCAGGTCTTGCAGTGACCTTAGGGATGCAATGTGGGGCTGTGCTGTAGGAGGTCGGATGCAGGAAGGGCTGTGTGAGCTGGGTGAGGAAAGCTGGGAGGGATGTGGTGTATGCTGAGGGGGAAGACTTACGTTCCTGTAGCTTTGTTATGCTCGTACCATGCACTGCAGGATGGTGTGGGTATCTGAAAGCACCACTGCAAAACAAGTGCACAGATGAATTGAGTGCACCATACATAGAATGTAATCCCACCCATTCCATATGAATTTCAGCAGGCTGGGCAAAGAGTCTTTACACAGATAACATCTTCTTAGATAATATTTTCTTAGTTTCAATGATGTTAAATATGAAATATTGCTTTTTATGGCCAGGCGCTGTCTTTTTATTCTGTTTCTTGGGTGTCTGTTCATCTGTCTCCATAATTATATTTTACTTCCTGGAATTATGCAATCCATCACTGTCAGGAAGGGCAGGGTGGCTGAGGGCTGCTCTGAGGCTCATCAGACAACTGCAATGCATTTCTAGCTGTTGAAATTGTATGCTTATTAAAAGTGAGATGTTTCTTCTCCCTACAACTCTCCAGCTTAAATACTTTAAAAAAGACAGCTGATCAAATGGAAACCTCTGTACACACACTGCTCTGTCCTGCAGCTGCCATGCTGCCCAATGGGAGCAGCAGGCAGTGCTGCAGTCCTTCCTCCTGCTCCTACCACGCTGCCCCATCAGCAGGTGATACCTGTGCTGTGTGCAACTTGGGCTGCATTTCACCCGGTGCCACTTCAGCACTGCCAACCTTTGCTGTGACTTTTTTTTTCTCCATAAAGGAATCCGAGAGAAATGGTTCTGTGCTGGTGCTGGTAGCTGCAGCCTGTTAGGCAGATGGAATTTCTCTTGGCAGTTTGGAGCCCAGGTGAGCTGGTTTCTGTTGGTTTTGGAGGCGTGGGGGGGTTGTGTCTGCTGCTTCGTTCCATTGCAGAGCTTCGTTGCTGCCTGCCTTCATATCTCCCCCAGCGGTTGGACGAGGAGTGAATGCAGTTGGTAGAGAAATTAGACAATTAATTCCGCAAGATGTTTTTAGCGATACTTCAAGATGTCAATTTGATAGGAAGTACTGGTTAGAGGAGGAAACCATCTGATGGCTTCAGATTGAGCAATTAACTACTTAACAGCTGGAAAAAAGATTGCGAGTGATGCGATTCTTCACACCAGCAGCTCTTAGCTGTTGTACCACAGTTGTAAAATGCTTTGAGCAGGAGATTGGTATCTTGCTCATTTTGCAGATGAGCAAACAGAAGGACGGAGGGGAGCAAATAGACTCGAGCAGCAGGTCAGCAGCACAGCCAGAAGGAAGAATCACGGTCGCCTAACTCCCACCCCCTGGAGCACAGGCAATGATGTTCCCCCCAGGATTATTTCCTCTGCCAGCACTGATGGGGCCAAGGTTCTCAAAGCTTGTCTGTTTTTTGAACTTTTTTCTTTTAATGTGTGGATGTTCTGCGAATGAGATCGCTGGGGAGTGCAGGTGTCCAGTGCTTCCCAAGCCCTGGCTGGGCTGCTTGCTGGTCCCTGGGCTGCTGAGCCCCATGGCACTGTGCTCTGCAGGCACTGCTCCTTGCTCTGCAGTGCTCACTGCACCCCGGCTCTGTTGTTCTATAGCTGGGTCTAAAATATACATCGTTGCTGGCATTCCAACCCCTATCTGCTCCCAGCATATGCTGTTGGCGCCGTACCAGCAGATGCTGTTAAGCGGTATCAAATCTTAAAGTGCAGATATGTTCTGAAGTGTGACTCTGTGAAAATGGCACTGTAGGGTTCCTCGCCTGTGCCTTGGTGCCTTCCACGTTGAGTCCTCTCTCAAAAAGCAAACAATGTGGATTGTTTTTAACAGTCCTCCTGACAAAGCGGACCCCACCAAAGTGGTGGGGTTTGGATGGGGGGAAGTCCCTGCTGCAGTGTGCAGGGCTCAGCCTGCGGTGCACTCTCTGGTCCAGGGAGGGGATGTGCATCAGTGCCCTGCGCTGGGCCTGCTGTGGCACCTCATAAATATTGCTGTTTTGCTGTTTAATAGCAAGCTGGTCATGCTCGATTTGCAGCTGTCTTGAGAATGCAAAATAAGTTTGGGGTGAACAGAAATTTCAGAGATGTCAACAAACAATCAGTGTTGTCGAGAGTGGTTTCTATTAAAAAAAGAAAAAAAGGATGTATGATCACTGAGTTAATATTCTTTACCCTTTTCTATTCTTATTCTCCTTTTGCTTGTTTGAGATTAAATGATTATAAGCAAACTCACTGCACAACTGACTCTTTGCTTATTGTTCCTCCTCCTGTGAAGTGCGGTGCCATCTGGCAAATGGACAAGTGGGGAAGATTGATGGTTAACAAAGAGCACCATTCATTTTCTCCTACCAGATCTGGACAGAAAGCAAACGTTTTTAATCAAATCTATATGTTTCTAAGGAATATTGGCTGCTGAAAATTTGCCAAGGGCTGAATTTTCTTCTCCCTCCCCCATAAGGGAGAATTGGATCCTGCCAGGGAAGGGGCAGGGTGGGCACTTCGCTTCTTCATGAGTTTCTTATATGCTGGTGAGAGAACAGGAAGGTAAAGGGCTGCTGGTGCTGGGGAGGGGGAGTGGTGGAAATGTTATGTGCTGTAGCATGGATAATCTTGAAATGTAGCAATACAGTACTTCTGTTGGCCTTGCAATGAATCATGCAAGACAGCCACTGGAGCAAAATGCACTGTTGCTTTCAATGAAGCAATCAAAACTACAGTGCAAAGTTTGCCTGCAGTGGTTTTTCGTTTTTTTCAGAGAAAAATTAATTATGCATGGGTTGCCTTTACCATCCCATCTTCTTTCAACAATTATGTAGTCACAGAATAGTGCAGGAATTTGGGATCCATGGGACAGAGGGAATCCAGCCGTGCTCATCAGCTGGGAGGCACTGATGGGCTTCTCCTGGGGGGAAAGAGGGGAGGAAGGTGCTGGCCCCAGGGAGCTGCCTGGCTTCAGGGCCAGGGGAGGGCCAGCCCCACAGCTTGGGTAGGAGGAGGATGAGGAGAGCAGCTGGGAGCTTCTGGGGCATGAGAGATGCAGTCTGTGCTGCAGGTGCCTGTGGGATGCAGAGCGGGACTTCGGCGTTTTGCCAAGATTGGAAAAAAGAAGCCTCGTCTATTTGAATATTAATTTCAGATGCCTTTTATAATGCCTATAAATTAATAGGATTTCAAGCACAGCATTCAGAAGCATTGTAAGGGGGATATGGGGTAGGTAGAGATAAAATGGATTTTGCAGCGCTTTATAGCTGTGGAAAGAAAATGATTTTCGTTTTTATTTTTTTTTTATTATTTTTTTTTTCCTTTGAAGTGTAATAATGGAGTTAATTAGCTCTAAGCACCTGGACTGGAAGCTCTTAAAATGATCCTTTCATTGCAAAGTTCCTGAATTTTCTGGAAGGTTGCAGCCACGTGCTTGTAACCAAGCATGGCACATGGAACCTGGTGCCACTGCATCAGGCTGCAGGTTGGGCATCACTGTCTGGAGAAGGGCCTCTCTTAGCATTGGCAAGTTGCTGCTGGGTTCAAATGTAAAGCCTCCTTTGCCGTGTTGCATGGAGTGGATCCTTGGCTGCCCTGTGTCTGTGTGTTAATTGCAGAGGGTTTTGCCCCTGCCCTGAGCTGGGAGCACAGGATTGCTGCTGTGGGCTGCGTGGTGGTGGGGAGCAATGTGATGGGAGCTGGAAGAGACCATGCTGATGTGGAAAGTTTCCAGCTGTTGTGTTTATGTAACAGTGCAGAGCTGAAATGGCTCTCAGAGCAGGCAGATTTATGTCCCTTCCAACACTTTCTGCATACTGTTCCCCTCTTTTCTTTTTTTCTTCCTGCTGCTATAAATCTGGATGCTTTTGCTGATATAAATATTCTGTCTTCTAAAGAATTTTGCTAAGGTTTGTGGGCACTCAATCAAGTCTCGTGGGTTTTGCGCTGTGATTTTTTTTTTTTTCCTCTCTCTTTCCTTGATCAGTCTTTAATTAGTTTTAGAGTATTTCCTCACTCGAGAGGTTCAGGTGCTGCGGGAGCACAGCAGCCTGCTCTCCCCGTGCTCACCCTGCTGCAGCGCCGGGTTGGGTGGAACAACCTGTCAGGTGCTGCTTGTGGAAAGGCCCAGGGTTGGGTGTGCAGGAGCTGCTGCTGCAGGGAGAGCAGTCTGTGTACCCAGCCCAGGACTCTTGCTGTGTGCTGTGCTGCTGCTCGCCTCTCAGTGCGCTCACTGTGTCCTGTTCTGTCCTTGAGCAGCAGTGCTGCGAGGAGCGCTGTGCGCAGCCTGCAGAAGGGAAGGGGATGCTTCCCATTGTCTGCAGTGGGTTGTGGATTAAGTCTCGGGAGAATAATAATATCATGGTTTACTTGGCATTGATAATGGCAGCAGTGCTGGCTGAGTGCAGACAATGAGCACGTTATGGAAAACATGATAGCCCACTTCTGAACGGGAGGGGAGTTGCTCGGACGTGAAAGCAGCCCGTTTTGCATACCGTTGTGTGGGAACTTTCAGCAGGGTACTTTGACATGGATTCCATGTAGGTGAAGTGCCAGGCCTTAAGCAGACAAGGATATAATGAAACTTCTGGTGATACCATGGAACGAAGCATGTGCTCTGTTTTGAAAATCCCCGTAGAGGTGTCTGTGGGCACTCCAAGTGGCACCAGCTGCTTGGTGCTCAGGAGGGGTTTCAGCCAGGAGCTGTGAGTTTGCAGAAGCGTGCCGACTCGGCACCAACGTGCTGGCTGCTGTGAGGCTTCCCATGGGTGGGTTAGCCTGATGTAGGTGGGGGAGGGAAGAAACACCTAATATAGAGCTTGGTCAAGTAGGGGAGCTGTGTGTGATAGATTTAAAAAAAAAAAAAAAAAAAAAAATCCTGCTTTTATTGCATGGCACGGCATAATCCCTGGTATCCTGTTTCAAATCAAAGCTAGGTAGTACAGGAGAGGCTGAGTTCTGCTCTGACCTTTTCAGCTGAGGCCAGCTGGCAGGGGAAACCTCCGGCTCCCAGCACAGACATGCACGTGGTGAAGGAGTAATGCAGAGTTGCTTTGGGGGCTGGGAGGAATCTTGTTGGCTTCCTATTCTTTGACAAAATTGCATCTCGATTCTTTAAAAGAAAAAAAGGGGAAAAAAACATTATTGTTGCAGTAGCTAACAGCTAACCTGTGCTTTCCTGGGTGTTAATGCACCTTCTGGGATGAGGGGCTGGGGAACACTCAATGTATTTGATAAGAAGCATTCTGGTGAAGCAGGGATCTTGTAAATTTGCATTACCTTGTTGCTGGTCTCTGCATCAGACATTGCCCTTGTCCAGCCGTGGTGTGCAGTTGTGGTTCTGCTTTTTCCCTTTTGTGGGTGGCAATCTGAAATACGCAGCTGCTTTAAGGAAACAAAAAGCAAAAAAGGCCATTGTGCTGTAGGGTTGTTTAAAATCAGGTGAGGAAGTACGGGCAGAGGCTAAGCCAGTGTTTTTTAAAGCGGAGGAGTGCAAATCCTCGAGGAACCCGGTGGTCTGATGCTCAGAGGTAATTAGTAGGTAGCCCTATTAATTTTAATGGCAGCTCTGAGCCGTTAAAGCCTGGCTATTGCCACTATATTTTAAATATTATTAAATACTAAATACTGAAGCGCTTTATTGCTCTCATTATAGAAAGAAGTCAGCTTGTTCTTCAGGTGCCTTGGTTCAAGTTGTTGTTTCTGGTGCCTGCTGGAAGCTGGCTACGGTCTCTGGGAGGAAGGCCGCTGTTCGGGTAGTTGTCTTTGGGTGCTGTGTTCAGCTTCAGGACAAGAAGACAACAGGCCTCCAGCCTGTTCTTGGTGAGGGGCACCTGCTGGTGAAGGCTTACCCCAATAATCCTCCAAACACAAAGCTGGACCCCAGTACCAGTGCCGCAGCCCCCGCCTCCAGGTGCTGCAGGTTCAGTTCCCTCCTCGTGCACTTGAGGTGGCCCTGAGCCCAACCTCAGCCTGTTTGCAACCAGAAGCGAGGAGAGTTTCACCTCTTCTTGGTGCTCTGCTGCATACCAGGGGAGATGTGCTGGAAACACCAAGTCTGTCTGCAGCGATTCCTTTGAGGAGGCCTGGCAGCCCCTCAAAGTCAGATCCCAGGCTGCTTGACGTCCACAGTGCAGCATGAATTGCCTTTCAAGTGAAGAGATGAGAGCATTCCCATGGCTCTTCTGCATTTCCCTCCCGGGTTGCTCTGAGCAGCACTGGAACTGGCCCAGGATGGGGAGCTGCCCAGGGGCTGGTCCTGGCTGCCTGCTCTGTGGTGTCCTGCCACATCTCCCTTCTATTTGCACACGCGTTGAGCGTTTCAAAGTTTGCCATTTCTGATGATATGGAAGGACTGGGAGAGAAGGTGATGAAACCATGCCCCATTTACCAGGCAACTTATTCATCCATTGCTGAGGCTTTTTGCTACCTGTACAACAGCTGTGAAAGCAGAAAGCGAGCCATGCAGTGCGCAGCTCTGGGTTGCTCCTGCCCTTGGCCTCCCTTTACTTGGAAGCAGAGTCCCAGTGTGACACGCTGCTGTTGTCAGGTCTTGTAGCAGAACAGCATGGCCGTGCTGCTACCTTCCCAGCCAAGGGCTGCCAGCAGTCGATGCAGCAGCACCCCGGCTGGTGTGGGGTGAGGCTTCCTTTGCAGCTGAGCAGATGTCTGCTCATCTCCATGAGACACTACCTTGCTGTTCTATCAAGCCGTGCAGAGGACAGATGTTGGGTGGAAGCACTGAAATATTTAACTAGGATATTTTCCCCCCTGCAGCCACAGTTGCTTGTTGGGCCTATTAATCTTTTACAAGACTTGCATCTGCTCAGAGGTGTTGGCTTCTTTTCAGGTTTTGGATGAACTTTGTGTGCATGTGTCTGGTTTGAACGAGTGGTGTAAAGAGCAAATGTGTGCATGGAGAAACTGAATGCATGAAGGAGGTGAATTTATCTATCAGCTACTGAAAGCCTCTTGTAATAATATAAATATTATAATGCTCCTTCTCCTATGGATCTTTGCCTTTTTTTTCTATGTGGAGTGTCTTTAACCTCTAGTTTGTACAATTAAGATTTCTATTGGCGTATCCTCAAAGAGAGCTTGTCCTTATGTATGTGTGGCCTTGTAAAGTGTATTGCTGGATGATTAAGTGCTCATTTGCCCCACTGTCCTTCCTAGTCTCATTATTGGCACATTTAAGTAGATCTGAAGATGGTGACATCTTTAGAGGTTACAAGAGGGGAAGGGGTAGGAACTCATCAGTAGTTCGTCACTGCTCGTCCCAAGTTAGCAGCTCTTTTGTTTATCAGGGATTTATTTTCAGCTAGAATATTACTATTCTGTAATGCTTTATTCTTCTGTGTACACTTCTGATTGTAGTTGCTTGTGTTTCCATTTCCTCTCGTTGTAACATTGGCACTTGCACCATAGCTGGTGATGGAACCATCGTGAGAGTCCTGAATAATGCGACAGATTGAAAAAGCAAAGAAACCACTTGCATGCAAAACTTATCCCCCCCTCCCCAAGGAGTAGCCTTGTTGGACCATATTTTATACACTGTGTTACACTTCAGAAAGAGGGGAAAAAAAAACACGCATACAACCTCCCTAATTAATACTTAATAAGGATTAATACTGGTCGAGTAATTAAAAAGCTCTCTGAAGCACGGTTTTTCCTTTTTTGCTGCTGACTTAGTAGCTGATAGTCATGCATGGTTGATGTTGTCTGTTGCAGCCTGCTTTTCTTTGTGTTGCATTTCTGAGTTTAAAGTTGCATGTTGACTTCTAATATCTCTTGGATGTAACCCAGTTTTTGTTTTCTTTAAACTTAGTTCATTTATTAATTCCCTTTTTCTCTGTGTTCAGTGAATTGAAGTAGAATGAGAAATTGCCACATATACTCACAGAGCTTCCCCCTCTCCTAGTAGATGAGTTACTCGCTCTGCATTTTGAGAAGAGTAACACTGGTTTGAAAGTAATTTAGCGCAGCTAGAGTTCATCTGACCACTTGGAGAGCATCTCAGGGCAATCCTGGGAGATGGTGGTGCGTAACAAGTCATGTCTCAGCAGAACAGGCTCATCTGGTGAGAAGCTCTTATGCATACAGTCAGTCTGGTTCAGGTCTGGAATTAATTCATTTATAAGAATTAAGTTTTCTTCTTTGAGTAATCATATTTAAGTGAAATATGAACCTGTTGTTTAGTCTCTGTGCTTTGCTCGATGCTTCTGTTTGTGATCTTCCTCATTTAGCAGAAGGAGATGGCAAAGTCTCAGCAACGTCTTTTCTCAGTAGATGTTCTCAAAATGCTCACTCGGTTGTAATTGAAAATTAATTGTTCAGCTGTCTGTCTTCTGTCTTCATATCTCCCATGTTCTGCCCAGTAACATTCTTCTCCCGTATGATTCATTAGTCTTCCGATTGCTTAAAAATATCGTAGACAAGGAGGACATATTAGCAAAGTCGTAACTATATTGGCAGATGGAAATAATCCCTTCTCAAGTGTCTCCGTACGTGCCAAGATCACATCGTGCATGCGGAGAATAAATGAGCGCTGTGATTGAGCTCAGGCTGCTGAGGGGCTCCTGTTAATCACGAGCATGGCTGGGTGGGGGCCTGCAGACCTGAATGAAAAGGCCAATGGATGCTGTTAGGAATTTGTATTGCCTTTTGCTCATCATCATCATGCTTTAAATGTAACTCCCTGCCGCCCGCCTGTTCCTCCTATGAGCTCTTCCTGCAGACCTCAGCTCGGTTGTCTCCATGCATGTGGGAGTGTGGCAGTCTCACATTTGAAGGCCCTTCAGATTGAATAAAATGCAGTAAATTTATGGGATTGCTGCATTAATCTCCCCAATAACTGCAGATTTGTTGTGTCCTGCCTACCCAATTCTGCATCTCCCAGCATTATTGGTTATGCTAAAAGTTCCACACTAACATGTCTTATTGCAGCAGGTTTTGGCGTTCTGGCTGCGAGCATTGTGTGCTGATACAGCGCAGCTGCAGTCCTGCTGGTGTTCTCACTTCAGTAAGTTGCTGCTTTTTGAGGGAGATAAAACCACAGGCTGTTGAAATTATATGGTATAATAATGGAGTCAAATCCACATGCTCAAGTGATCCTGTGTGTTTTGGGTGTTTTATTAAATTGATGAGTAGGTAAAAAGTCAGACTTATTCGTCTTGCTGCTAGGAGCTGTGAGACGCAGACCTTTCCAGTTAGCTGTTTGCAGGAAACATCATCAACATTTTGGCCCCTTCTCGCCAAAGCATGAGAGGATGTATGATGTCCTCCCGCGCAGATGTAAACGGCTCTGGGATCTCTGCAGTTTGTACCTTCTGACTGCTCAATTCATGGTGGGTTCCAACTGAAGTTTGTTTATTGCAGAAACACTTAGACCGAAGTTGAAACCAATGGATTAGCTTTGTTCTGTGATCCTTTCAAAACTGTCACGTGCCAAATCCTCAGAAACAATTGCCATTGAAAAGCTGAATGCATTTTTCCTCCCTGTTCTGAATGGCAGAATGTGCAAGAGCAGCATTTTTAATATTTGAAAGTTCCAGGAGCGGCAGAGGGACGTGTGATCCCATTCTGGGGTGTCTTTCACACAGTGCTGTCTGCTCCTTGAAAGTGCCACAGGACAGCAAACGGGCAGTGCTGTCTCTGCGGGCTGAGGAGGGAAGGAGAGGCCCTGGGAGTGCCTGGTGGGGATGGTGTGGGTCCCCTGGCAGAACATCCCTGCGTGGTACCCGATGTGCTGCTGCAGGCAGGGCTCTGCCCCACAGCACAGCTGTCGGGTGGTCTTGGGTTGGGAAGGACATTCTGCAGCACTGTAATAATTGAGATATTTGTTTCTGTGGGAAAAGAGAAGCGTGGTTCAGAAGGCAGCCAGGTTTTGCAGAGATAAAAGTAACATCTATTCCCATCACCCTGCTGGTTTTCGCCGTTCTCTGCTGCTGCTGTGTGCTGTGAAAGCTCAGTTTCCCTGCCTCGGATTTATTGAGGGAGCATGAGAGGAAAATGAAACGAAGCAATGTATTTGCTTTGTTGTCTTCTCGCTGTCAATTGAGTCTTAGTGGTACCATTAGTCATTTTATGACACGTTTACCTTACCTGAGTGAGTTTTGCTCCCTGCTCAGTGTGTTGGGCTGAATTTTTAAACATGTTTTTGTTCCAATCCCTGAGATTGGAAAGCATGCTTTTCATAAAGTTGGTTCCTTTCTGAGCTTCCACAGCACACCTCTGCTCAGCCCTCCGTCAGCTGGCACTCAGAGCTCCCAGGGCTGAGTGAGCTTTGTCTCTGTTGACACAATTAGTTGGTTCACAGTGTGAGTGAGACAGCGGCTGCGTGCAGGTCTGCTGGAATGCAGTTATAGAGCAATAACAAACCATCAGAGCAGTGAGAATGACCAAAGAATCGTGATTTCTGTGGAGGGCTCTGCACTGTGGGAGTGGGCAGGACAATCCCGGTGCTTCTCTCACTTGCATGAACGCACAAATCCATTGGTACTGTTGCCTTTCTCTTGGTGCCATCCACTTCTGCCCTTGATGCTGAGTAAAGCTGCTGGGGCTGAAGTGCAGGGTGTGGAGTGGGGACCTTCCTTGAGCACGGTGCCACTGCCTGAGCTGTGCTGCCTTGCAAGCCCCAAGAGCAGCTGAAATTTGTCGTCACCTTCATGGAGCTGGTTAAGAAAAGCTAGGCTTCCTTTTCTGTGTGTTGAAGCTCTGGAATCCTTTGAGTGTTTGCATGCAGCTTGTGATTCCTATTAATAACAACTGGTTTATAAAATGTGGTTACTGGATTTGGCAAGCGCATATTGGCAGCAAGGCAACACAATAGTCAGCTGAATGCAAGCAGCAGGCTGCTAATGCACCCCTACAGTATCCTTGTTTGTGCATTCTGAAATTATTATGTTTGGTCTGTACTTGTGTTAAGTGCATCTTGGGTTCAGCCATTAGAAATTTGAAGATCCTGATAGCAAATAAGCGGTCTGCTTTGTAGCTGTATTGGTCAAAACAGAAGTGTTAGAGATATTTTCAGAGAGAGATCTTTGAGCTGAATGCTGCAATTACAGATAGCAAACTGGTTCTGAAAGCTGACTGTGATGGGTAGGGGAGGGCTAAAAATATCTCTAATCGTAATAGTTGGGTTTTGAGCATTTCCTATAGTGATCTTACATCTGTAACTGCAGATGGAGAAATCTTCATGTGAAGCCTTGAGTGTGTCAGAACTAATAGGGAGGCAATGAAAGGAAGCCCGCTGTTAAATGAATTGTTGCCTTTTGGCCCCATGTGGATCTGCAGCCAGTTTTTCTGTTGTCCCATCACCTCCAGGCTTCTCCAGATCCCACATTTCTGGTAGGTAGAACTTCCAGTTTGTGTCCCGTGGCCCATGTGGGAGCAATACCACGACTGTCTTGGCACAAACCTGCAATCTGTGTCTCCTCAAAGTGCAAGCTCAGGCAAGTCCACAAACCTAGGCTGTCAAGTTCAATCTAAAGAAAGAAGATTTTTATTTAGTTTTGGTTTTTTTAACAAGCGAACATCAGAAAGGCAAGCCAATGGCATCGTACCACATTATTGCTGTGTTGTGTTTAGGGTTATAAAGCTTACTGTAAGACTAACACAGACTGGCATCTGTTTTGTTTCAGCTTTAGCATTTGAGAATGCTAAATGATAACTTGCTTTTGAGACCCAGTCAGATAATGTAAGAGGGAAGGTTAGTCCAGCTCGCTCAGCACAGAACTGCTTCCCCCCTTGAACTGTCGGTGCCGATGGCTCGGAGGCTGGTGAGGAGCTTGCAAGTTGGTTTGGAAGACAATTCTTTTGAACATAGACAGTAATTTCATAATTAGCCCTTAAAATTGCATGGTAGTAAAAGCTCAGGAAACACGAAAGATCACAACCATGAAAGCATCTGGTTTATATTTTAGCTACTCTTGTCCTGATCCCTTCAGCTGTCCTCAAAAAAGGAAAGGAAAAAGATGGTGTGCTTTGAGTTAGCATAGGACTGCTTGGAGGCTTAAGGGGAAGATGATTAAAGGCAGCTACTGAGCTGGCCAGAAGCGTGAGCCATGGCGATGCTTTGGTAGAGAGTGGATTATTTTTGCATGGTCGGAAGTGTGTGTGCATTTAACTGGCTGAGCTTCCTTATCTTCACTACTTACTGGGGTGCAGCTGAGTCCAGGTAAGATCACACTCAGAACCCGGTGATGCGAGCAATGCCTGTGCAGAGCACAGAGCCCTGTGTCCTGTAGCATGAGCTCTGAGTTTAGGTAGGACTTCCAGTAAACATGTGATAGCTCAAAACTCACAATTAAAAAAAAAAATAAATAGTTGGAAGGTTTGTTGAAAAGGGATTCAAAACTGTTTCCACTGTTGTTCTCTGCTTAATTTTTTTTTCCTTCCTTTTGGAGAAAGTGCGTTGTTCAAAATGAGACAGAGAGGGACAACACTGGCATAAATTCTTGCACCAAATTGTTAAAAATTAATGTTAGCCCCTCTTGTTTTCCTCACTTAAAAGCTGATAGCTGCTTCAGGTCAGTGCCTTATTTTTGGCGTTCCCGTGGCCTGCACTGCACGTAAGCAGCCAGTTTAGTCACATACGGCAATTCTTCTTTTCAAACACAGGTTTTCTAAACCAGCTTAGCTCCTAATTACAAGGCTGCTTAAGCTCAAACCATTTGAAGTACGCTTAGAGTTGGTCCACAGGAGACTGCAGCTATTTACTGCGTTATTTTAAAATCACACCTTTCCATGTCAGCAATTGGAACCTCACAGCTTATAATTATCCCTGCTGAGGCCCTCTGTGTCCGGCCTGGGTTGCAGCCTGCAGCTCTCCGGGCAGAGCAGCAGGCTCTTTGCTTCTGTCCGTTCTGGTACTTCAGGCACTTCTTCATTTCCAGCATCCCTACTGGTAATTGAATAGAATGAGGAGTCACAGATCAACAAAATGCAGGAGAATCAATTTAGCAGTCTTTAACTTTGCATTGTAGAAAGGGAGGATGCAGCTGAATTGCTTTCTTTTAATAGGAGGGGTATTTCTAAAATAGTGATGAAAAACATTTGCATTAATGTTCAGTCTAAACAGTGCTTGGGATGCTTGTTGTCTGCCTCGTAGCCTTGTTTTTAAATGTCAGTTTGCTTTTTTATAAGATTAAGAGCGCAGCGATGACTAACATCACAGCTTTACCCAACAGCTTTACACGTTGGAATATTCCTACGGCCTTCAGCTGAAAAATAAATAAAATAAACTAACTGGGAAACAGTCCTTTCGGGGAATTCGTTAGTGGAAGGCTCATGGGATCATACAGTGTGTTGTCTTCCAAATTGTAATTTTCCCATTAAATCCATGTGGATCTCTTTTGTTTTTTTAATTCTTTTTTTTTTTTCTTTTCTTTCTTTTTTTTTTCCTTCTGGGCATGTCTGTGTGAGACTGAAGCCCAGATGTACCCAACTCTGAAGGGAAGGACAGGGTTGCTTCCTTCCTTCTGTCCTTCAAAGACAGATATTACTTGCAGAGATCCAGGGCTATCAAGTCCTTTTCTGGAGTACCAAATGGAGTAGGCAGGCTCTGGCACTGAAAAGCAAAATGCAGACTAGCAATTTTCCTCAGGTCTGTAATTGCACCCACATGGTGGTTATTAATGGGGGAGATGCAAGTGCTGAAAGCGAGGAGTGGAAGCTGAACCTCCGGCATGCAGATCCTGCTGGGCCCCTGGTGCTGTGAGGGACGTGTCTGGAGCACAGCAGAAGGTCACCTGCTTGGTCTGGAATGGTTTCTTTTTGGCTTTGATGCAGGCTCAGGTAACTTGCAGAATGCACATCAGTGCTCGGCTGGGTTTTGCCGTTTTGCCACCACGCGGGTCCATCTGTGGGGCTGCAGCCGTGGCAGCAGGAGCGTGATGGGGGTAAGGTGAGGTGCTGAGCCTCCTCTGCATTTAGCACCTTGTCCACAGAGCTGTGATCTTAAGCCTTAAAATCGATGATCTTGTCATGGTGATACTTCCCTGCCTCTTGTCACCTTTATGGCTGTTCTGCTTATGGTAGTATTTTAAAGCTCAGAAACATAACACTTGTGTATTTTCAAGTGATACTTAAACTGTAACTGTAGAAACATGCCTTTTTATGTGGCAGTGGAGCGATACTTGGCCAGTGTCATCCTCAGCCTTAATTTTAATTCTGGCAGAATTACTGTGTTGCACAGGGAAGGAAGCCATGCACTTTGCATGGAGCTCTGGGACCCGGCGGACTCTGCCCTGTGCTATCTGCAGGCTGCACTGTGCTGCTGGGCTGTTAACTCCTGCTGGCAGGGAGAGCTGAGGGCTGCCCTGGCACTGCCAACCTCAGATCCACCAGCCCTTAAAGCTGCTTTTGTGGAAGCAAGCGTGTAACAGACGTAGCTCTTCTTTTGCCAGGTGGTTCAGACTGTCGTGGTGGTTTACAAGTGAGATGTATTAATAATTAATGTTCGTAACATTGCCATTATTATTAGCACTATTTATTCACAGCTGCATTGATCCTCCTTCCTTCAGCCCCAGCTGAAGTGTGAGGGGCTGAGTAAAGCCTGTGGTTTGATGGGGAGAGGTGAGAGGGGGCAGAGGGGACTTGATCTGTGTGGAGCAACCTGCATTGAGAGCTTGGCTTCTGGGGAAAGGGCATGGAAAGGAATGAGAGCAGAAATAACACAAGGGGCCAAGAATGCAATTTTGTCTAAGCAAACTTTTGTAGCTTAAAAACCAAACAAAAACACCACTTCTGGTTGAACAAGGGGAGAGGATGGTGATGGTAAAGGGAGAAAATGGAGGGCAGAAGTGTGAATTCAGCAGCACACATACAGCAGTCTGGCTGCCTAGGGCAGGCTGGAAATGCTGTGCCTCCTGCCCTGGCAAGGCAGAGCTTTCAGACATAACCATGGCAGCTAAATGGCTCTGGTTAAGGTTGGTGCCTGCCTGGGCTTCTTTGTGCGTCCCAACCTCCTGCTGGCTGTTGGGGTCCTGGCTTGTGTGTGGCAAGGGAGGCCAGTTCTGAAACAGCTTGCAAATGGACACTATTGCAGTTCTAAGGGTCCGTGAGTGGAAGAAATTCTTGCTTGACCTGCTGGTATCAGAGGGAACTTCCTTCAGGGTGGATTTTTGCAGCACATATTTCCAATCCATATTCCCAACAGTTATCAGAGCCAAGTTATGATGTTCTCTGGGTTTTTGTTCCCAGGGCCAACCCACCCTCAACTTTCATTAGCAAATAAAAGCACCGCATGACCCACACTCTTGGCTAGCACTACCCCAGCCATATTGTAAGCATTTGAAGTAATCACACAGCTTTCATAGCTTTCCCAAGCAAGCTCAGTAATTTTATGTTTGGGGAGTTTGAGCCAATTGGTCCCACTTCCAAGAGAAACGCTGCATGTTCACCCACTTTACCTTTAAGCAAAAGAGAGGATTCATATGGCTCATGTTTTATGGTCTCTCCTATATTGCTATACCACTGCCCTCCTGAAATTTCTTTTACTGTTGAAGAGTGGCATTGAACATTTTTCTTCTTGAGTTCCCTTAATAAAGTGAAATCACTGAGGTACTTGTCTGGGTGGGGTGAATTTAACCATACCTGAAGATGGGCTTGTGGTGTTTGGAGTCAGCTTTGACAGATTCTTTTGAAGTACTCAAAATACAACAATCTGAAAACTGGTGCAATGGAAACTTAATCTGCAATCACATGGCCTGCATGCCCTCGGGAAGGAGTAGGTGCTCCTAGCTGCCTTCTCATCCATCCTGTTGTTGGGTTTAGGGAGAAGCTGAAGGGGATCTTAGAGCTGCTGGGAGAGACTTCACCAGTTTGAAATGGAAAGGGGGAAGTGAATGGGCTCTAGGGATAGTGGTGAATTAACATCTGGTAAAAATTAAGAATTACTTACTGCACTAATTAAAAAAAAAAAAAAAAAAAGAAAAAAAAGGTAAGGTGGCTAGCAGCCAGGAGATGTAAAGTGGTAAAGAGTGGATTGCCTTTTGCAAACTGTATGGAGGCCTCTCTCCTGCTTTCTCTGCTCAGTGAGAGATACAAACCTGTATGTAGCACAAATGGCACCAAGTTACCTACTGCCATGCCTTGTGCTTTTCCCTTCCCTGTTTTACGGCTTTTCTCTTGTTAGCTATCTGCTTTTGAAGGTCTTAACCAGTACTATGAAGTGACCAGTGACCATGGCAGATGTGTTCATAAACATGCATTTCTTTAGGTTGCCTTTTAGGAAGTTGTCACAGGAAAAAATTTCAGAACATTAGGTCTCTGACTGTAAAAGGGCCAAAGATAACTTTAAAATATGATGCAAGTAGCCATCTGGTGTTAAAATACCTTTTGTAAAAGCACTGCACCCCCAGCTGATGTCTATTTAGTTCTGGCTTTCATTTTGTGTCTATGAACTTTTCTGATGCTCTCTTTTATATCTTGGCCAAATTTGTTTCAAATTGTGAGGAATCTGTCTCTATTTTACTGGATTAAGGTAACTATTCTGTTTACAGTGCAGCCAAGGTAATTGTTAAGGAACCAGGAGGTCTGGGTTTCTAAGGAACTTCAAAGTTTTCTCAAAAACTTAATAAAATAATTTTGGTAAATTGACAGTATTCCCTATGAAAACAAATTAGACAACTCTTCAGTTCACTGCTGTCGAGTGTCAACACTGGCTTGATTAATGCAAAGTAATGTTGTCTGGCTGATTGATTGTAGCTGTCCATAAGCTCTCCAACTTGAATGTGGTAAGCACCAGCATCCTGCTCTGACAGCCTCCTTGCTGGCTTCTGGCTTCATGTGGGCAATTGCATACATGCAGAACAAGCAAGGTTCATTTGCAGTAGTTCATTATGGACATGTCTAAGCTGACTTCTATAAACCTACTTAGGTAATTATTTGAAATAGAATTGAGTACCCCCAAGTGTGTTTGCCAAATCCAGGAAAAAGTGTTTTCTGCAAAAAAGCATCTTTCAGGTGCTCTGTGTGTCAATTTCTATTTATTTCTAGTCTCTCTCTGATCTTTGACCAATTTAAATAAATTGACTTTTGGAGTTTTTGAGAACGAGAAAGAGGACTAAAGATGTGACTAAAATGTCATGAAAACCACTGGGTTGACTCTAGGGATCTCTGCACTGTGTTGTCTTGCCTTTTATCTAAAACTCTCTTTTGATGTGCTTTGATCTTGGAGGATTTTTAAAAAATGCTTTTTTTTAATGTGCAAATGGCCACTAAAAAGTTTACAGATTCACAGCATGTGTGTACATGGGGCTCTCTCAAGACTGCTTTTGATATGTGACTGTATCCACAAAAAAATCCCTGAGCCCTTAAGCAAGCTTACTTCTTATGATCATATCTGGGTCTTACATAGTGCCTTTTGTCTCTGTGTCTTGAGGCTTGTTGAGGAGCTGGTTTCATCTTCCTCCTTTAGCTGATAAGGGTAGGGAATGGGAACTGGAAGGTAGTTGTTACTGTGTGGGAGTGGGGAGAGAAAAGGAATAATCCTTTTCCAGAAGGCCTGGGGAATGGAGGCACAAATAGCAATTGCATTGCCTGAAAACCCAGTCTTGTACTCTCTAATACTGCCTATGTTTTTTCTGCTGGGTATGCAAACCTACAGCTGAAGAGATATGTGATGTCTGGTGCTTGGTTTACATAAACATTTATTTTTATTTTGTAAAGGTTTTTAGTTTGTCATGAAGATGTGTTTGCTGTACCTTAAAATCCAATTTTCCCTTGTGTGTTTTCAGCCTCTGGAGAACTTTTAATACCTCAAAACCAAAGCGTGATCTTTCTGCTTGGCTCTGGCAGACATTACAGACTGTAAACAAACAAGTCTGTGGAGCTTTTCTATTTATTTTACTGTTGCTTTATTTGGGGCCTGGTGGAACAAGAGTATGGTGCAGGACTGAGGTGACTGTGGTGCTGGAGAAGTTGATGGGGATTACCTTTTTCTGGTTGCACATTTGGCCTCTGCTTCCTAGTAGTTGGACATTCTCTTGTGCTTAAACTAATTTGTTGTAAAATAAGGCTGGCTGACATCAATATTCTAAGGAATCTTAACTGGAAATGGTCATGCAAATCATTTGGCACCTTTCAGTGACCACCAAAGCCATTAGTTTCCTTGGATAATATTGAGAGGAGCGTTAATTAAATCAACAGGAATGGACAGAGAAGAGAATGGTAGATAAGCAGCTGTTCAGAAGAAGGAAAAAAAATTCAATTGGGCAACATGATTTACAGGGAAGAAGGAGATCCTTTAAATATTTGGTGGTATCCAGTAGTGAGACTCCCTTCCTTGCCCCCAAAAAATACCTTTCTGGCAGTTTCTGGGTGAGAGGCAGAGATGAAGAAAGCACTAAGCTTGGTGACCTTTCTCTGCTAATGCCTTCTCCCTGCCCCCTTCTGAGAGCTGGCACAGCTTTCCTGCACCAGCAGGCGCGTCTATCCTGCCATCTGTACTGCATGCATAGAGACAAAGGTGCCAAATTTCAGCCAGGGTCTGAGAGACTTGTTCTCTTTGGGGTGGGAGACAGAGCAGAGATGCAACTCCTTCCCACCTTCCCACTCACCTTCTAGCTTGCCTTTCCATGCATAGTGCTGCTTGCTCTCAGGAGTGCATCTGGGGTCCTGGGGAGAGGATGGGAGGGAACCTGGATCCGTTGCATGATTAGTATGTGCATTCCACAGTTAATTCATTGTCAGAGCTGGGAACACTAGAAGTGGAAGGCAGAGAAGACTTGTGAAGCAGTGAGGAGTGGTGCAGTCCTGGAAGATTCTTCTTGTGCTCCTCTTCACCCGCTGGCGGTTGGCTCTGCTTTTTCCCAATGTACTGTTCAGAGCTGCTATAAATTGCAGTCAGATTTGATCTTGCCAAATGCAAGTTAAAATATCAGAATGATTCCCAATTCCTTTTTTGTTTTTTTTTTATAACTATGGATTTCTAAGGTACTTTTTTTACCCAGTGTTTTCTCCTCTTTCTACTTCTCCTGTGATTAATAGTGACCCTGTGCTCCCGCACATGAAAAAAATGCAAGCATTATGTTCATAACATGTAAGATCACACAATTACTTTTTGCTGGCACATTCTTACAAGCTCCTGTTCTGCATATTGGAGTATTTTCATGTTGGCTTCCAGAATTCATGCGCAAGGGCAAGCTAGGTTTTTGTGTTGGACAGGAATCAAAGGATCTGGAAATGCAGCCAGCGACTGTAGAATAAAAGCAATTATCACATGCAACGGTATGTAAATGTGTTTATTAAGGATGTGTATGTCACTTGTTACTGTGTATCGTAGAGTCGCAGTATCTTTGATTCTGACAATAGCCTTGTGAAATGTAATAGCAATATTTTTCCCATTTTGCAAAGCTTCTTCTTAAATAACTTCCCCTTCAAATTAATTCTCTTGGCCTCCCTTCAGACATGCTGTTATTTTCTTTTCTTACCAGCCATCTAGTGATGTGGTTGACCTTGGTTTTCATATCCTGCAGGCCAGATCAACTACTTCCTGAAAAATATTTGACCAAGGGGAAATGCAAGGCAGGGCAGAGATTTCTGACGTGTTCTGCTTTCTGCACCCAAGCTAGGTCGGAGGAGCTTGTGGAGCAGCCTGAGAGGCAGCTGCAGCACTGGGGGGTGATCAGGAAATCCTTTGAAAGTCTTTTAGTGCCTGCTGGATATTTCAAAAACAAACACCTGTGCTGTGTCCCTCTCTGCCACAAAAACAAACAAACCCAACCAACCAAGTGGTGTGTCTGTAGAGGGGAGGGGGCTTACTCCCTTGTTTTGAAACAAAACGAAACCGATGGCTGGTTAGAGGCACAGAAGTGCTGGGTTGTGTTTGTGTGCTCCATAGGAGCATTTTCTAAAGATTAGTTTGCTTTTCTTGTTGTCTTTACCTTGAACTGCATCTGCACAACAGCTGTTCTTCTAAAAATGCATACCTGTCATTAAGTATGCATAATTAAATTTAAGTTGAAAATTGGTTTGATTCCTTATGATGGCTGCACACGCAGGTTTTATTTTCTGTGGAGAAACTTTCTTTAGGAATGCGCTTACAAAAAGTGATGCAGTCCTTTTTTTTTATTTAAAAAAAAAAAAAAAAGCAGCAAAGCTTTTGGCCTTGAAATGAGGGTGAAGATATCTGAAAAAACACTCCTCTAGATAACGTGATTTGTTCCTGTCAGTCTGATCCAGCCAAGCATCCCATCCAGGTGTTAGTTGAGCTAGGAACACTTTATGGAATTTAAATGGAGTATCTGGCTCGTGTTTGCTGCCAGAGCCTGTGCAGGTCAATCCCAAACTCTCACATCTGAATGTGAACGTAGTGTTGCCTCTGTCGGATTCATCCTCTTTCCTGAAGGTTGGAGAGAGGAGAGCAGCAAGCTGAGCCAGGGTCGCTTGGGGAGAAAGGAGAAAGTAAATAGAAGTGTGGACTGTAGCTCAGGATATAAAAATCTCTTCCTTCCTGCATGCAGCAGCCAGGGACCGTGTGGTGACCAGGTTTTACCCACTGGTGGCTTTCCCAGCAGCTGTCATAATGTTATTCTTTTCAGCAGCCCTTTTTGTTTTTGTTAAGAAATTATTTCAAACATCTCAGCCCTGATCCTGTGAGGAAGAATTAAAAGCTTTGGCAGCTGGGCTTCATCCACCTCTCCGCCCTCCCAACAAAATGCTCCCCGTGGAACTGAGGCCTCCATTGCTGTGCCCAGTGCCATGCGGGGTGTGGGGCAGGCAGGGCTGGGTGCCATCAGTGTGGAAACGGCTGTGTCCTGTGGTGAGGTGGCTGTATGGATGTCCCTAGCAGGTGAGGGAGGCCTTATCGAGAATGAAGGCTGTTGTTGCTGCAGGATGTACTGCAGGTTATGGTGGAGCTCGGTGCTGTGTAGCATGAGGTGTGGGGTGCTGGGCGCCATGTTGGTGCTGGGCGCCATGTTGGTGCTGGGCGCCATGTTGGTGCTGGGCGCCA